CGGACGCGTAAAAACCATAAAGTACCCCTCCTGATACTGCAACAATATATATTGTCCCGCGTTCTTTAGACTGACACTTAGTCCCAGAAATATGTTACCTTATTTAAAAATATATATCTACAAAATAAATAATAATAGAGCTGGGGCAATCTAGACGTCCTTTTTTTCTGAAAGGTTCCACACCGGTATCAACCCGCTTCGTCTAATTTCATAGTCTCTCCCAAACACATTATACGGTTCTGTGGAGAAACCACTCGTGCATGGTTAGACAACCAAGGCATAGTGAAACTCTAAAACTTAGACGACGCGGGTTGTAATCTCCACACCCCAAAGCCCCGCCCCACCAGACGGCTGTTGTTTTAAAGGGGCTCTAATGTCTGGCTTCTTCCAGGCTGTCTATAACCGCAAGGGTTCACACGCTGCCGTGAGTCGATTTGCTCGCTAATCCAACTGGTCGTGACAAGAGACTAGGCTACCGTCTGTGAGTACAGCGTAAATATACTTTTATGTAATACAAATACGCATTTCTGAACATTGACTGGTTACCCGTGATCTGTAAAGATTTCGCTATTACAAAGGGCGTATGTGAATTAATTCCTTCAACTTAAATAGACAAAAAGAATGGTGGAGGCTCATGTGATGTCGTTATTTGGAAATACCCCTGATGGTAATAGTTTTTTATATTAAAAAATATTCCTGCAGAAAAGCAATTTTAGATTCCGGATTGCGTGGATAATACGATTGCTATCCCCTTGTTGTCATCCATGTTTCCTATTATAACCCTTCACCTGTGTACATGTCTTTCACTTGATTGACCGCCTCCGTGGTCTAGTGGTAGAGCGTCCGCCCTGAGAGCGAAGGTCCGAGGTTCGATCCCCGGTCATACCAACACTTTTAAGATGGTCCCTGCCTGGCGATCGGCATTAAGGGGCTGAAACAGGGACTGGTCGACTCAGAGTCAGTATACTGTGCCTGAGTGGGCTGACACTTAGACTAAAATCTAGACTCTGAAATGAACATATCGTACATAAAAAAAACAGTTGTTTAGTTATCTTAATAAAAATATAATAAAAAGGAGCCCAGTGACTCTCTTCATTTTCAGATACTGCAGTGATCTAGACTTGCGAAACATTATAGACCTGCATGGGCTGTATTTGATATATATTTGTATCAGGGTCTGTAAGACAGACTAGGCTGACACTATACAATCGGCATTAGTCCGGACCAGTACAAGCAGCCACACACACACCCACACACGAGCATGCACGTCATTATATAAGTGCAATAATCTTGGACGCGACGTTAAACCCTATTTCACCTCAGCTTAATCTATTAATCTATTACAGGTATAGTCAATGTTTGCACCACTCAGATAACCTGACAAAGGTTCCCATTTGGCGCTCTTGTGTCTTGGGGTAATTATTCAATCCAGGTTTGAAGTAGGGTGAAATGTATGTTATGTAATATGCATGTGACAGCGACGCAAGAGAGGAATGATCATTTGAGCTACCCAAAAAAACATCCATAAAAAAACTTGCACAGTGGATTTGTCAAACGTAAGTGTTTATTAATTTAGGTTTACTAAAGCAGACGTGGAGTATAAAATAATCATGAAGTGTAAAAACAACATACTTTGTTCAAAGAATTACTTGTAATACGTTGATTGCTCATGGTCATCTAACTTAATGTGAACCGTGGACATCATGAAACTAGTTGTTACGCTTGCTATGTCAGCTGACCAATGGTACTAGACACCTATGTGAAACACCTGAAACAAACTTACGCGATCAGTTGAGAAAAGAACACAAGTCACAGTATCCAGAAACACTATATATGTTTTAAAATATCAGATTGTTACCAAGACATGTAACATCGAACAAATTTATTTGTACAGCTGCAGATGTGGGGGATATTGTTCCTTTATGTGGATATTCACGGATACATTTCTTGAACAAGGTAATTGCGTTATATTACACGTATAACTTTGGTCGGTTGTAATTACGATATTTGCATAATGTTTTCATTCAATTGCTGTTGCCATGAACAAAATCATGCTTTTCGTTTGACAGTAATACAATGCGAGATAGAAAACACTATAAGTCGATGTTTTCACAATACTTCCGTTTGTAAGCGTGTACATGTTGCAGCCAATGTGTGAAATGTGATTCACTCAGGCAATTTATAAAATATTTCATCATCTAAATATTTCTGTCATTTCACAAATTGACTGAAACATTTGTCCATTTATTTAACAGATTGACTAAAATCCTTTAAGACGTTTAAAGGGACTTAAAACATCTAAATACACTAACTATGCTAGGATTGGAAGCCCAAGAATATAGAAATGTACTTTGACTTACGCTTTCGTATAATCCTATTATTTTCTGTCTCTGTTTGGAATTTGCTATCATAATAAAATAAATGGACATAATTTTCAGTCATTTTTATAAATAACTGTATGATAATTTGCCTAAGTGAAAATTTTAGTCATTTTACACATTGGTTACATCATATACACACTATAGAATAAGCAATGCTCAGGTGAAATATTTCGTTTGTGTTACAAGTAAAATTATTGTAAACGAAAATCGCACAATACCAAACGACTTACTAAAACGTCCCCCCCCCCCCCCCCCCCATCCAAAGATACCTACATTTCCTTGTTATTTCAAAGACAAAACTGTACATGTATTCATTTTCTTGATCAATGAGACGATACGCCCTTATTCTATCAATAGAAGCGACGATGCGCTTATTGTTGGCGCAGCACAGGTCGCGAACTAGTCGAGATTTCTGGGATATAATCCGGGTACTCAAGGGAAAAAAACAATAACAAAGGCAACGACCCGTGGCATAGACTTGCTGCAGATCAGTGCCCCTCGACTGGCTGTGCCGTGCTCAAGGTTCACCCCTTGTAATATGATAAGCTGTTAAGCCTCGTTAAGTCTAGCAGCTTACAGGTGTTGGTTAGGTGTGAGCAGACTAAGTATATAAAAGTAAGTAATTGTGGTGAATTACTGTATCATTCAGCTTTGACAAATCCATTAGTTCCTGCGTAGTGTTGCATTTGTTAACCCCTTTCCGTATGTTCAAAAGCCTTCAATATACTTGTTTGGTATTCTCAGTAAAACGGGGAAGGAAAGAACTTGGAGAAATATGCTCTTGTAATTGTGTAAAGATGGATTGGGGGTGGAGCTAGGGAGAGGAACAGCCAATCAAGAGCCCACCGTCACTAATTTGTGTCTTAAAACAACAGGGGCCAAGTGGGACGGGGCCAAGGGGAATGAAACCGTCTGGTCCTCTACCCGTGCACGGAACACCCACCCAGTTATTCAAACCTGTTAACATTTAGTCAATGAAAAAATAAATGACATTAACCTACTGTGTTGGATAAGTGCAATAAATAAGTCTTGAAAAGGCGCAATGTAAAGTATCATACAAAAATGATTGTCTAAATTATGAATATTACTTAACCGCACTGCAGGAAAACCTTTGGCGAGTCTTACTTAAGTTTAGAACTTGTAACCATAATTTACCTTTTGAAACTGGGAGATGGAGACATATAGCTTTAACTGAAAGAAAATGTCCACTTTGTAAACTATCTTACATAGATAATGAATTCCATTATTTGTTTATTTGTCCATATTTAGAAAACGACAGAAAACAACTTTTACACAGATTGTACTACATTGAACACACTATGTATAAGATGACTACTTTTCAATAATCCACAATTATGAACATTGAGTGAGTGAGTGAGTGAGTATGGTTTTACGCCGCTTTTAGCAATATTCCAGCAATATCACGGCGGGGGACACCAGAAATGGGCTTCACACATTGTACCCATGTCGGGAATCGAACCCGGGTCTTCGGCGGGACGAGCAAACGCTTTAACCACTCGGCTACCCGACCGCCCCTATGAACATTGAGACAAGTGTCTACATTTTGTAACTCATCACGTCACTGTTGAAACCCATCAAGTAAATCTCCTCATTGAATTGGACATATAATGTTACCCTGGTGAATCTGTATATTTATGCATGCTCGCTCGGCAAAGATGTTGTATCTATTCTATACTTATATGTATATGTATTATGTTGTTGAAATAAGTTGGTAACTCTTATGCTGCTGATATCGGCCAGAGTTGAAATAAAATGTCAGTTACAGACTGAAGGGTGCCACTCCAGGAATATGTAAATATTGCACTGGTTCTGTCAGAGAAAATGACAGGGGGAAATAGTACCATGGAAGATTGAGGATTGTATAATGTGTTTAATGATGACTAACCATGCTTATTTGAAAACATAAACAACGCTGCCACATGAGTCACACAACACATAACGCCAGAATTACCCACGCGCCTCTAATGAACACTTACTCTTGTACAGGTCACTCGATAACATAAATATGTCAAACGCCAAAGATTCCCTCCCTCTCTGATGCTCACCGATCGATAATAATGTAATTAAATAAAATACCATCAGAATATACATATCTGTTTCCGTCTATTAAAATAAAAATTGATTATACATACTGCTGCAAGCTGGTTCACTAATGCAACGAACCTCTGGTGTATGCTGGTATGAAGGATATAAAACTGACGTGCAAATGAGTGCACACAGGTAGCTCGAGATATGAACGGTCGCACTATCGGACATACTGGTTACGACCTGCAGTGGACAAATCCATCCCAGCTAAAATAATGTTTGTAATATAAGTAATGTTAATGTTTGTAATATAAGTAATGTTAATGTTTATAATATGAGTAATGTTAATGTTTATAATAAAAGTAACGATAATGTTTATGATATAAGTAATATCAATATCAATTCGATTCACATGATGTGATGTTTGTTGTTTAACGCCGCACTCAGCAATATTCCAGCTATATGACGGCGGTCTGTAAATAATTGAGTTTGGACCAGACAATCCAGTGACTGACATCATAAGCATCGATCCACGCAACTGGGATACGATGACATGCATCAAACCAAGTCGGCGAGCCTTACCACCCGATCCCGTTAGTCGTCTCTTACGACAAGCATGGGTTGCTGAAGACCTATTCTACCCCGGATCCTCACGGGTCCGATTCACATTATTGGTTATAACGAGCCCAGTTACACTTCACCGTGATGGCAATTGGGGTTACTGTTCGATTCACATGACGAACAGTAACAACAACTGCCATCATGGTGAAGTGAAACTGGGCTCGTTATAACCGATAATCATGCCATATCGGATTTCGTTATATAGTGAAACCTCATTAATCCGGACCCCTTTTCCACCTGGTGCTAACTATTTGGGACGTCTGCATGTAGTTACATACTGTCTGCACGGAATTAAAGGTATATTCCGATTTGTCATTGATTCGTTAATACGGACGTTTCACGGGGGCCAGCACCGTCCGGATTGAAGGAGTTTCACAATATACGGAATTATCTACATGTAGTTGGAAATGTATTTACCGTTATAACCATCGCTTAGGTCGGATCAATGACAAAAAAGAAAACTTGCTTTGGGATACATATGATCATGACGTCATGAAACACTCCCCAAACGCACTCACAGTCTGCCAGACAGACGGAAAAGAATTTGCTTCAGCGCGATCTGATATTCCCAGTATCCAGTTGTGACACATTGTTTACGTCATGCTGCATCACAGCTTAGGAGATGAATTTCACATACCAGTTTATTGCTAATGACGTGGTAGCGCAGATACAAATGTCAAATAATCACAGGGCCTTTATCAATGTCGGAGCATGTTGTCTTGTTTTCCTCTCCCGGAATGTTTCCGTCCTGAATACATTCAGGGCTTTGGGCGTCTTCATCTTCTGGTGGCGACTGAAGCAGGACATAGCCCTGTTGTCTGGGAGACTTCACAATTACCACGCTGGAGAACAAAAAGTAGAATACGTTTTGGAGTAAAGTCCAAATCAACGTAGATTGTAACTCAATAGATTTTGTATTGGTTTGCAAGCCCATAGAGCATGCTGGGTGAATCTGAAATTCGAACCCACAATCAGCGGACCCTCGCACTTAGAAACAAAACGAAACCCAGCAAGTAGCGCCTCAGAAAAATTATCTTTAGCATATTGAAAGAAAACATCGATTGCGCATGCAATCATACACATCTGAACTGTTTTTGTTGTTACGTGTTTCATACAAAAGGGATGGTTGTGGATTACGTACATCTTTATCATGGCGGCCATGAACATGACGGCCGCAATAACTAAGAACGCCATCCCTCTCATGGTGTCTATGGTGGCGCTGTACAAAGAAGTGAAGGCCGAACTCCCCACAGCTCCACACAGGGTATCGACGGTTGCCATGCTTGAAAAGATCGCACCTGGTACGTGAGAAAGACATGCTTGAATAGCTATCAACAACATCAACATAAATGTAACAAAACTGCTTGTATTATCGCATCTACTGCTGCTATTTCTGATACAAAAGATACGTTATCTTTTATTATTCCACTTCTGTCATGGCAGTTGCACCAAACAACACAACTACCGTCTCTGTTGCTGCTATTCGTACGTTTACTTTGTCCAGTCAAAAGTGACAGTGCTATATTTTCCATTGCGTTCAATAATAATGTAGTTCATTTCAATTCTGTTTATTGTATTCAAAGCCATTGGACCACATTTAAATTACAAAGTTTTACAGTTGCCAATAGGCAATAGAGGTACATATAATAAAAACGTTGAATTGCACATGACGTTGTTAAACAAGACAAGACGATCCATTGATTGACATCATGAGCGTCGATCAACGCAATTAGGATACGATGACATGCATCAACCAAGTCAGCGAGCCTGATCAACCGATCCCGTTAGTCGCATCTTACGACAAGCATGGGTTGCTGAAGACCGATTCTAACCCGGAATTTTCACGGGACCTTTTACACATCGAAATTCGAAATGAATTTAATGCACACTTAACAAAATATGTTTTTGGCATATAATCTTTTCTTATTTCATAATATAATGGACATTATAATATGACCTGAATCTAAAAGGAGCACTATTCTCTTCAACCAATGCCATTTGTCAGCGTAATTAGTGTCAAACTTCAACAATGTATGTGTGTGTAATGACGGTTATTATCAAAAAGATACATCATACAGTGATATGAATCAAATATGACGGCACTGCAAATAGACCCAAACCATTGTATCCCATTAGATGTTGCAAAATAATATCAGTAAGTTTTAAATTCGCTTAACTGCTATCGTATTTCAACACATAATTGTGGTCATGGTTAATGTCCTGGTGATCTGATCTGTCATAAAGTGCTTGTTTAAATGGAGCAACGTTTGTGCATGTAGTTACGGCACATCTGCTGCCTGTATCATGTATATCCGTCGACATCCCAGATCTTGCGCACGTACCTTGTTCGTGAGCAGCCACCATGCGCGACAGGACGGAGCGGGTCACAGGAACCGACACGGCGCCTATCGACGCTACAAAGGGCACTGAAGGAAACAGCAATAACGTGCGTCAGTAATGGCGATCAGTGAGCAACCGTTCAGAGGTTGGTGTTTGTTTGTTTCATGTTGTTTAACGCCGCACTCAGCAATATTCAAGCTATATGACGGCGGTCTGTAAATAATCAAGTCTGGACCAGACAATGCAGTGATTGACATCATGGGCATCGATTCACGAAGTTGGTATACGATGACGTGCGTCATACAAGTCAGCGAGCCTGACCACCCGATCCCGTTAGTCGCATCTTACGACAAGCAGAGTCGCCTTTTACGGCAAGCATGGATTCTACCCCGGATCTTCACGGGTAGTTCACGGGTAAGGGGGTGATAAGGGATATGTAAATGGAGTTATAGTCACAGTGAGACAACACACAGACTATCAAGTATGATAATACATATACTGAAATGTATCAGTATATGATAATAGGCCACGGAGGCGTCACGACAATGTGTTGATATTTCATAAGCTCTGTAGATCCTTTTTCGGTTTCAAACGGAAACTTCGGTGCTACAGTAACCACATCCCTCATCAATACTTAGAGTGCGACGTCAAACACCAAACAAACAAACTAACTTCTCCACCCATGTAGTATTAAGGATTATGTTTTGTTGGTTGTTGAAGGCCGCGCTCAGCAGTATTCCAGCCATATGACGCCGAGTCTCGACCAGACAATCCTGTGATTGATATTATGAGCTGCGTGCGATCCAAGCAATTGTGGTACGATGACATATCACCAACCAAGCTACCGAGCCTGACAACCTATTGGTCTCCTCTTACTAGAAACATTGGTTGCTGGGGACCTATATTCTTACCGGATTTGTGATCAGTGAAAAATGAAGCAACTTAAATACAGTTCCTTGTCTGGCAGATGTGCAAGTTGATGCATGCCTCCTTGTAAAGTGCCGTCTCTGGCTCTTAGCCATCCACAAATCCACTGGAGCGTCAGGGTTTCTTCTTCAATCCGTTGTAGTCATTACTTTTAATTCGTAGAACGCAAATGTGCATCGAGTGCTGTGTTCAATACTGGTATCATATGATACCCAGCTGGTCTGCTTACAGAAACATTAATGACGTATTGCTGTAAAACATCCCACATGTTCACATAATCGCCGGGATCCACACTTTGATGACGTCTAGGTCAAGGAGCAATGACAAATTACACACAACAATGGGGATAGTGGTGTGTATGGTAAAAGAATGCATAGGTGCTTATCAAATATACTACTCGCTGTGGGTTATCTGGGCGCGTTCATGCAGTATCTAGAATGACACGATATATAATTATATTACCGGAATATAGCATGACGTCTGTCGTGGCCAGGCCCTCCAGAATCAGAGACCCCATCAGTAGGAAGATCCCCGTCACAGCCAGAACCTCTACCCGCACACATGCTGACCCCATCTTGATGGCCACGAGTCCGCTCAGGGTCTGGAATACTGTGGAGTAGGCGCCGTAGTAACCTATCTGTACAGGATTCCAGCAGAACGGTCGACCTAACTGGTACAGTGTCTCAATTGTATATTTACCATTATACCCAATGCTCATCAGAGCATAGACAACCAAACAGGCAATAAATATGCAGCGCTTATTGTCTTGGCTTTTGTTTACGTAAAATCCAAACACTTTCTTAAAATGAACTATCGGTGAAAGTTCCTTGACCTCAGTTTTCTTTACGGTTTCCGTAAGGCCAAATGTGACGATGGCTATGGCAAGCAGGATTAAGCCTGTATTAATGATAGGTGGGTAGAAGAATCCAAGATTTTCGATGAGGAGGCCTGTCATGAGCTGACCTAATGCTATAGCTACAGATACCGAACTGTCGGCAATCACAATAGCGAGCGTCCTTGTCGCGTGGGTCTTAGTCACGTCGGCTGCATACGCCATGTTGGCGAGAACGAAGGTGCTTGATGAACCAGAAAAACCGTCTAGGAGAACCCCGAGGATGAGGAAGTTGAGATTAAGATGGTATTTGACAACCAGAATGAAAACTACATATTTAAAAACACTTCCTACTAGCGGTAAAATAAACAACATCTTCCTGCCGATGTGGTCTGAATACGACCCCACCACCATGTTGACGATGACCGGGGGTATCTGAACACAAAGGCTCAGCTTCAGGATCTCGAACGATGTGGACTGCTGAACAAGCACTTGTATCTCGTCAGTTTCCTCGCTGGTATTGGAAACGCACGGTGATTGTTTACTTGGCGACGTTGTCGAGGAGTTTGTGTCGTTACTGTAGACATCCGCATAGCGAGAGTGGATGTACTGGGTGAAGACGGGGACGGCTGAGATGTTGGCACACATGTACAACATCAGGACCACGCTGGATATTATCCTCTCCTTAATGTAAGACTTTGAGTTTTCTTGAACATTTCCGTGGTTTTCATTTAACGTTACATCAGGCTGTTCTACGCTGCCCATTGTTACCGGTTTCTAAGTGTACCTCATGAACAGCGTGTTTATGCTCGCCCTGCCTCTGTGAATGAGACACAAACATGTGATGGTGTTCATTATCACATGATGCAGAGGCATTCGTGATTCCAGTTGATAGTTCGTGGTTAATTGAATTTACAGAATGTTAATGTACGTCACGAGACCAAGTACGACAATGTCCCATCTGTTGCACGACTCCAGGCATGAAGCAGATGGCGAAACCCACACGCAGCAGTAACGTCAATATGCAAACCACGGTGTATGTATTTGTTGACATACAGCTTCTCACCGATCGCCCAAAATTAGTCAGAGGGTAGGGCTTCAGACCCTTGCTTCAGATGTCACGTTTCGGCGGGGAACCATCAAATAATGAAATAATGAAATAATAAAAGGTCAGTGTACTGGTAATAACAGGGTACAAACTGATATAAAAATATCTCATAACTCTAAATTAATTTGTCATTATTAGAGTTATGAAAAACTGAAAACTTGAGATACTAAAAAAACCTAGAATAGGCATGTACAATGCATTGTCGATAGAAACCATATTAATTGTTATTGATAAGTTATTGATGTCAGAGTGAAAATATATATTTTGTTTGGAAAGAGGTTTTAACAAGGCAGGGATTCAAGAAGTGATACGTTTTCTCCATCTGATCACAAAAACGTATATTCATTTAATTTATAAGAATTTCGTATACAGGACAGTGTAGAAGAACATTTTCTGATTCTATTTGGATGAGTTTGTGCATCTGTTGCCTGGGGTTGTATATGACCTAATACACATACATGTCTTGACTCATTGCTATGTTTGCTTTCCAATAACGTATGGTACGTCCCAGCTCACTGACATAAATAAGCTTTTTATTTGTTTGTTGTTTAACGCCGCACTCAGCAATATTCCAGCTATATGACGGCGGCCTGTAAATAATCAAGATTGGACCAGACTATCCAGTGATTGACATCAAGAGCATCGATCTACGCAACTGGTGTACGATGACATGCATCAACCAAGTCAGCGAGCCTGACAACCCGATCCCGTAAGTCGCCTATTTAGACAAGCAAAGTCGCCCTTTAAAGCAAGCATTGGTTGCTGAAGCCCTACTCTACCCCGGATCTTCACGGGTCCATAAATAAGCGACCAACACAATTCTGCAGATACTTACAGAATAAGGGGCACTTTTCCAAAGCCTAGATGCAAACATTTTTCTAAACAGTGATACTCCATTCTCAAGACAGCAGCTCCCGAGCGAGTTTTCATGTAAAGTCATTTTGAACGGTATTCCAGTTTTGTCAATGCGTGTCAGCTTGATGGGGCAAGAAGGGATGGACGTCTCACTCACCACTTTGGTGAATGCCACGAGCAGGGCAGGGTGCTAACAAACCTAGATGCTTTTAGCTACGTACCTTTGTGACAGTTCACATCCTCTATTATATCAGACATTTATTGCCCTTCATACCGTATGTCAAGTTTGAAATTAGAGGGAAACATGACCCCAGAAGAAACCTTTCTAAACCTTTCCGATTTCATTGCCGATTGCAGATTGTGTCTCTGCAACAATGGTATCTATTTCATTCCTCTTTGAACATTTCATTCCTCTTTGAATATTGTTCTCCTGGGTCTATTAGATTGGTTTAGGTCGCTCTCTGCACGTATCATTGCCTTTGGCTATTTCCTTTATGCATTCCGCATCAGTGAACAAGGCAGATAACGACAATCGTTGAGGGCTCATGTCCAAACGAGGTTTCTATTATTGTGAATTATCTACCTGTAAGTCATTGCGAAGGGTGTGTGTTCATATTCATTATGTTACACTTGTGTTGTGTGCTAAAATGGGAATTCCACAGTGACGTATTTGGTTGTATTTGTGTGACTTCAGGTCTTCTAGTCACTGGGTACCACAGGATAGATTGCCTTGATTCAGCTGACCCAAGGACCTTAGCAATGTCGAAGACCCACACACCTTTTCACAAACCAATTTCTTTCCATTGATATAGCGCTTGTGTTCAGTTCGCCTGGCCCGTTAGTAAATGCACATATAACATGTTTTAATTTTCTGTTCACTTTTCTAATTAATACCCCGCATGCGTGATTCGATGTGGGGTTTCTTGCCGAAAGCAGATCTTGATTGGCTTCACACATTCATTTATTGGTTCACTTTCATCAATATCATGTGATTAAGTACATCGTGAATCAATGTCCAGAACATTCCAGGTTACACTGAGCAGCACTGACGTGTTCATTCAGCAAAATGTTTCACCATCACTTTAATCATATCTCTGTTTTCTACCGATTGTCTGACAATGCATGAACATGAATGGTTCTCGGACTATCTACATTTTTTCCGGGATTTGATTGATTGAACAAAACTTCGTTGACAAACATACGCTCGGTTCATAAATGGTCATCGATTGCTGATTTATGAAAAAACCGCGTGTCACGTTGATGGTTTGAATGTCTTTGATTCTGTTTGTATAAACCATTAAATGCATACAAAACGTCAACGTCGAAGAATGAGCAGTCTCGATTATCTGTCGATACAGATTCCATTTGCCGTAAAAGGTAAAATAACGGTGTAAATTATATGAATGGATCACTGAACATCAGTACTGACACGCCTCACCATCATAAGTGACGGTGCAAGAGTGTCCTTTTCAGCAAGAATTCCGTATTTAGACGATTACAATTCATTTGTCTGAGAGTAGGTTGTTATGAGGACTGTGTGTTGCAATGCGTACATATTTACACAGCGTTTAATTACTATTGGTGTGTGTGTGTGCGTGCGTGCGTGCGTGCGTGCGTGCGTGCGTGCGTGTGTGCGTGTGTGTGTGTGTGTGTGTGTGTGTGTGTGCTGGCTAAGCCAGAGACCGGGTGGGTTCGTTCACTCACGTGGGTAGTTTGTATGTGTTTGCGTTGTTGGGAATAACCCCATCTTTAACTAGTCGCACGACCGTTGTTTCGCAGTAAAAAGGAATCTGACATTGTAGACAAGCCCCTTCCACACCCACCCACTTATGATATCATAATACGGTAAAAGAACAACTAGGTGAAACAATCAACAGGAAAAACACATCAAATCACAACTACATTAGTGTCTGACCGTTGCAATTAATTGATTCAATTTTAATCCTAAGTAAAAGGAGAATTATTCAATAGTATTTGCTTCATGTATGTACATGAGAGGGGAAGTTGCTCCTCAGCGGCCTGGATATGTAAACAGACATCCTCATCCGCAGTATGTGAATGTGAAACTGGTGGAAATGAGATCATTAACGTCACAAGATAGCAAAATTATGCATATACATCCTACCAAATGATCTGATGCGATCAAAGTTTCAACAATCTGACAGTGACGGTGAAGTCCATGAAACAGTATATGAAAACAATCAAATTGTTAAAAAACAGATGGTTGATCGATCGTTAGCAAGGGTGTTTTTCGCTTTATTTAATGATGATTTATGTGCAAACAAAATATCTAAAAAAGTAAGCCTATAGATCTCACCTTCAATTTACCTTTCACCAAAATGAAAAACTAAAATATTTAGAAAATAATGTACATGAATATGTAATGCATAAAACAATGATGGTGATTGCCCTCATGGATGCTATTATTCATACAGTTATATAAACCTTTGTCTCACATCCTGCCCGTCCCACAAAGCGACCGTATCACTACAACTTTCGTACGTTAGTGATATGTTTTGGTTACTGTTGTCTTAGGGTTACGACCGTTTTGTGGAACGGGTCTCGGATGTTCCGGTTCTCTATTAGTGCATTCATCATGCATCCAGGTAACCTCATTATTTATAATCAATGGTCTAATAAAATGCAAAATTGACCGTTGTCACGGCTACTTGGTACGCCCTGTAGCACTATTGAGGACTAGAAGAATACAAATCGGAGCACTAACTTACAATCACAGCTGCGTGCCCAAATCCAACGAGCAATCCAATCCAACCTCACTCGTGATAATAATACGATCGTCATATTTGACGTTCGGTATTTACTTGAGTATCGTTAATTACCGGAGAACTGGGCTCGTTACAACCGATATAGCGCTTTATCCGACTTTGTTATATGTGGAATGCACTAATTGGAAATATGTTTCCAGCAACTACCGTTTTCATCTATTATAAGCAAACAATAACAAAAGTTCTCACTGGAATGATTACTACGGTAACAGTATTAACCATTCCCCACATATAAGTAAGGTTCATACAGTCAAGTATACACTCAAGGAACATTGTTCTTGGGGCCTTTGGGTCATCAATATGTCCGGTGAAGCATCAGTTTACGCCTCTGTGCTGTACATAATGGTGCAGTGATGACGTCCTAACACTTGCAGTTCAACATGATATATGTGGCGTAGTTACGTCAATTCATGCTGTCATACAACAGCAGAGCACTTCTCCATGCTTAAGTATATTTTCTCAGGTCCTCCTCCCAGAAGTTTGGTGCTCTGGGTACATCCAAGCCCCGGTGCGTCTTGATCTTCAGGTGGCGAGTGAAGCAGGTCACGGTCCGGTTGTCTGGGAGACTTCACGATTACCACGCTAGGGAACAAATGAAGCGTAAATGATTCGAACACCGATCAGTGGATCATGGCAGCTTAGAAATAAAACGCCGCTACTTAGACAACGGGCTACCTAAGCTTTTTAGAGAAATATGAGAAATGATTGAAGAAAGGAGACAAGCACTAAGCAATCAAATACTTTTGAACAGGTTACGTACATCATCGTCAAGGCGGCCATGAATATGACGACCGCGATTAATAAGAACGCCATCCCTCTCATGGTGTCTACGGTGGCGCTGTACAAGAAGGTGAAGGACGAACTCCCCACAGCTCCACACAGGGTTTCGACAGTGGCCATGCTTGAGAAGATCGCACCTGGTGTGATGGAAATACATGTACTGCTTTTGAAACAACACTTCTTCATCTGCCATGACACAAACAGCAACATCAAACCTAACAACAAAGCTTATTGTAGTAACATATCAACTGGTGCTATTCTTTGAACAATAACTTCATTTTATTATCTTAATATGGTGCATTCGACCTATAATATATGAAATATATAAATATGAAGTCGTTCACCTTAACAATATTAAGGATTTTACAATTCTATTTCAGCATGTTTCCTACTGTAATGTTACTATCAAATGATTCGTCTTCTTACAGGTAAACGGATAACAATATTGCCCCTAAAACCATACCATCTGGTATGTTAAGTTTTGTAACCGATACATGTCTATCATATGGTATTTAGATTCACCGAAACCCAAATGTTCATACCTTGTTTGTGAGCATCCACCATGTGCGACATGACCGACCGAATCACAGGCATCGTCACGGCGCTTATCGACGCCACGCAGGGCACTGAAGAAGACATTGATAAATAAAATAGACAGACTTTTTGTGCAAGTCTTACCTCGTTACAATAAACGTGTAATAATTCACAAATAAAACTTTTAACTTAAAACTGTAAAGGGACTCCCTTACAGGATTATGAGAGACTAATATAAAATATATAAATACAAAATAAATAAAAACATCATTTTAAAAGAATGACATGGCAGAAATATCACTGGTTGATAAATCTAATATTTTCTACTTTTGAGAGTATATTTGCAGGCTTTGACAGCAGCGTAGCAGAAAAAGGGGAGGACAGGGTAAAACTTTATCCTCATGACTAATATTTGAAAAATCCAAAATATTAGTAAGTATTAAAAGCGTCAATACCGGCAGTCATTTCTCTCCAGCAACACACAAGAAAAGGCAATAGCTGAAATTTTGAGCTAGTACAGTATTTTAGTTACATAACGGCGTGTCAGCGCGATGTGGGGAGGTGGGGTGGTGAGGTGAAATGTGGTTTAACGTTCCGTTAAATTTTATTGCACTTATATAGCGAGGATGCACTTGTGTGTGTGCTTGGACTAGTCCGGACTTATGCCGGTTTTATTGTGCCAGCCCACTGAGATGACATGACAAAGTTTAACATGGATAGCCTCTCAGACACAGTATAATGACTCCGAGCCAACCAGACCTTGTGTTGTTCCCTGAATATTGAGCGCCAAACAGAATAACACGTGCCACCAGTCAACGCTAATTGGCATGAAGTGTCCAGGGGGGTCAAATTATCTTCCGCTATCGGGGCAGGTGCTCTATTCACTAAACACGAGGCGGGCTGCTGTAGGGGAAAGCCTGAATGAAACGTGGTGGGAACCACGCCCATTGACATGGTGCTGGGCACTGTGACAAACCGAGAAAGATCACCAGGCCGAACCGGGACTCGAACCAGTAACAAAAAATACTGCAATTAGTATGTGTTACTGTAGTGAGTGAGTATGGTTTTACGCCGCTTTCTAGCAATATTCCAGCAATATCACGGCGGGGGACACCAGAAACCTATTGTACCCATGTCGGGGATCGACCCCGGGTCTTCGGCGTGACGAGCGAACGCTTTAACCGCTAGGCTACCCGACCGCCCAACGTGTTACTGTAAGTCGTGAGTCGTGAGAAAAAATATATATATACTCTTTCAGACGCCCTATCTTGAGCTTGTACAAGGGACGTTCAATGTATCTAGGAAGTATCAAAGAAGTATATAATCGGTAAATGTATACATAGTTATTAAGTCATATACATATCAACATATTACCCGCAAACAGCATGACGTCTGTCGTGGCCAGGCCCTCCAGAATCAGAGAGCCCATCAGTAGGAAGATCCCCGTCACAGCCAGAACTTCTATCCGCACACACGTTGACCCCATCTTGATGGCCACGAGTCCGCACAGGGTCTGGAATACTATGGCGTAGGCGCCGAAGTAACCTATCTGTACAGGATTCCAGGAGAACGGTCGACCCAGCTGATACAGTGTCTCAATTGTATTTCTACCACTCAGACCGATGTTTATAAGGGCAAAGACAACCAAACTGGCAATAAATATGCAGCGCTTATTGTCTTGGCTTTTGTTTACGTAAAATCCGAACACTTTTTTAATGTGAACTACAGGTGAAAGGTTCTTGACCTTAGATTCTCTTACCGTTTCCGTAAGGCCAAATGTGACGATGGCTATGGCAAGCAGGATTAAGCCTGTATTAATGATAGGTGGGTAGAAGTATCCAAGATTTTCGATGAGGAGGCCTGTCATGAGCTGACCTAATGCTATAGCTACAGATACCGAACTGTCGGCAATCACAATAGCGAGCGTCCTTGTCGCGTGGGTCTTTGTCACGTCGGCTGCATACGCCATGTTGGCGAGAACGAAGGTGCTTGATGAACCAGAAAAACCGTCCAGGAGAACCCCGAGGATGAGGAAGTTGAGATGAAGATGGAATTTGACAACCGAAATGAAAACTAGATATTTACAACTACATCCAAGCAGCGGTAAAATAAACAACACCTTCCTACCGATGTGGTCTGAATAGGACCCCATCACCATGTTGACGAAAGCCGGGGGAATCAGTGCACACAGACTTAACTTGATGATCGCATACGATGTTGACTGCTGAACACGCACCTGCACCTCATCAGCGTCCTCGTTGGCATAGGCAAGATGCGGTGGTTTACTTGGCGGTGTTGTCGAGGAGTTTGCGTCGTTACTGTAGACATCCTCATAGCGTGAGTGGATGTACTGGGTGTAGACTGGGAGGACAGAGGTGTTCGCACACATGTACAACATCACAACGACAGTGAGTGTAACTCGATCCTTAACGTACGACTTGGGTTTTTCTTGAACATTACAGTGGTCGTCTTGGGACGTTACGTCAGACTGTTTTACACCGTTGTCCATCGTTGTCGGTCTACTTCCTCAATACTGGTAGTTCATTAAACTGTGAACTGAACCGTGTACTCGCACGTCTCCTTGTGTTGATGTATCTTATTCCTTTGTCCACAACCATTAGCGGCCTTTAAGAGTCCACTATACAGAATGTTCACGATAAAGAGGTCTAACAATGTCAACTTGTAACTTGACCACAGCTGCGGAACAGATGTACAAGCATTCACAATACTCCTTCAGGTGCACACGTAATGAGGTTGTTCCCCAAATTAATCAAAAGAATAAAGCTCTTCTTGCAGTTATTTTCGACCGGGCACCATATTTCCATCCACGTGATCGCTCGGAGATATTCCAGTGAAAGATCAAGTCTGGTGCTTTTCCGTTAGGTCATTCAAATAACCAACTATAATTACACTAGCCGTAAAGAAAGTCAGAAAGTCGGATTGTCGGGGTCAGTATTTGTTTTAAACTGAGAAACACCTACTGTCATTTGATCATCTCTTATCGAACAGATAAGGTTCACGGTCCCCGTTAGGCTCCCTGGATATGGTCTCTAAATACGACTGGAATAGAATATAAACGTATTATTTACATCATCGTAGGTATATTTAAGCGAACAAAAGCTATCTTGCGCCAATGAGGTTTAATCTACCTGTGTCTTACATTGAAGGCGCATTATATGTTGTTTTGAGGACTTCTGAAGCGGCTCTACAATTAATCAATCGTCCAGACGGTGACTCTGCTAAACACACTAAGGAAGGGTATTTACTCAGTGTACCTTATAACACAGTATCCCATAAATATATAGGTGGTCTACAGAATAGCTGTTTAAGTACGTCACACTTCCTTCTACGTATCCACAATGTGTTTTAGAAAACTGTTCAGACGCCCCGCATTTGTCACGCACGATAATCACTCAAGCGGAGCAGTGAAAACATTGCCGCGTCCCATGCAAAAGGTGACAGAAAAGAGGATGTCCAAAATCAATACACGGGACGGTCCAGTGGTCAGTAAACACAATGGCCGAATTTCACAAAGTTAAAGAGGAATATAATAAATTGTGATGGTGAGAGATCGCACTTTTTGGAAGAAGCTTAGTTGAGACGATTATGATTATACTGAATTGCCTGAATTATGTGACAATGCTGTGGCCCCGTGGCGATGAAACAAAGCACAGTGTTAAGACGAACCTTTATCTGTCGAATGGCTCGGAGAAAGGTACGGGGACGTCAGATTCCACTGATATGTATCCAAAGGAGAAGTTGGTGCTCCGCGTCATCGTTGTCGAACACAACACAAGTCCATTACCTCTAGTTTGGTAAAGTATTCGTCAGGGCGTTCAAATCTCTCGGTCGATTGACAAAGGGCCAGCGCGCCCCATCTGTCCGTTTCCTTTAATTCCATTGGTCAGAACTACGGTCACCTGGCCAGACTGTTGTCATGGATCACATTCTTTGTGACTGACGTTTGGTTTAAACAGCCTACATTTATTTGCCCAGCGCAGCAACTGATCTAATATTAGGTGCCTGACCCATGTATGACCCTATGTATAAGTATCACCATAGACCATAAAATAAATGTAAGTCTATTGTACACCACTAACGCCAAGCTGAAATAGCCACCCGTGAAATGTTTGGAATCAAGAATCAAGTATTTGTATTGAACAAAAACGCCCACTAGGACTTGGTACAAAATAAGGCATTTACATGGCGCAGAGATACGATTTGTGTGTTTGTTGTTTAACGCCGCACTCAGCAATATCCCAGCTATGAGCATCAATCCACGCAATTGGGATACGATGACATGCATCAACCAAGTCAGCTAGCCTGACCACTCATCCCGTTAGTCGCCTCTCACGACAAGCATTGTCGCCTTTTAAAGCGCGCATAGGTTGCGAAAGACCTATTTTGCCCCGGATCTTCACGGGTCCATAGTACACATAGGAAGAGATTATGTGTTACGCAAGTGTCAACTTTACAAGCATTCAACAATAGATATGTTTGCATTATGTTGTCAGTTTTATCCTGCTTTTATTACAGCCCCTGACGAAGAAACATTTTAAATATTCATGTCTTGCCCCAATATTATGAAAGGTTTGTGCCCAAACCTGCAAGTATGTTTTAGACTTTAGGAGCACGTGTGTGTATAGATAGTAGGGATGATTACGTTAAGTGTGTATTATTTTTATACTAAATATTATATGTATATAATTACGTCTGTCATTATCCCGTAAGGGTTGGATCAGTAATATATTGTTGTATATGTTGTTTTTATCTGTATCTGAGGTGAGACGAAAATAAAATATTCTGTCTGTGTGTCTGTCTGTCTGTCATTTTCCTAACAAAAATGCATGAAAACATGATGGAAATGAAAATAAGTTTAATAGAACCTTGTCCACATGTAGGACTTTTACAAGTTAAAGTTTTAAAGTTACTGACAACGTTCATCAGTGTATATTTGGAAGATAAAGGTATCTGAGTATGTTTTTTTGCACAGATTGTAATGGCAGATACAGATCTATCCAGAATTATCAGGTATTTAACATCTTAAATGGTACAACGACCAGAAATTATTATTTTTCTGCTCATATGCGCCATTATAGATGACAGAATACCTGTCGTGTATTATGTATATGTACGTGTGGGTGCATCTCTTACTCTCCATTGCAGAATCCTATATACAACAGTAACTAAACGTGTCACGATCCCCGGCCGCGTCATACCAAAAGACGTTAAAAGATTATACTTGTTTGTACCCTGTCTGACGCTCGGCATTAAGGGGCTAAAACAAGGACTGATCGGCTCGGAGTCAGTACGCTGTGTCTGAGTGGGGTAGTCATGTTAAACTGCGGCATTGTATCTCAGTGAGCTAGCACTATAAATCGGCATCAGTCCGGACTAGTACAAGAAGCCACACACATGCACGTGCATGCACGTCACAATAATCTTGGACGCGACATTCAAAGACTACATATGGTCTCTGCTTCAGTACTGCAGCAGACATCAATCCTCTTTGATTGATTCGTTATGAAACCACAGTACACAATGTAATTTTCTATAGTAACAACGTCCTGCAGATACTCTAATGTAACAACTTCCTGCAAATATTTTATAGTCGCAGCAGTGAGATGAGATATGAGATGTCTGCAATCTGTCTGACAGGAAGGGCGGACTACGGCCCACTAATGAGTTTCCGCCTTACGTAATAAACAGAGAGTCCACGATAGATTACTCAACTAATCGTCAACTGATGCACTCATCACACACTCCTCTAGTACCAAACAGAGCCCGAGACGCAGCCGACGCAAGACCCTTTAAAGGGGCACTGATCTAAAGCAATTCCTCGGGACTGGTTGTTATTGTTTTTTCCCAGTGAGCACCCGGATGTATAGCAGAAATCTAGACTAGTTCACGACCTCTGCTGCGCCATTCGTAAGCGCATTAGTCACTTTTATAGGTAGTAATAAGGGCGTATGGTCACATTGATCAACAAAATGAAATACAGTTTTCGAGATAATAAGGAAATGTAGGTTTCTTTGTGGGTAGCTTCGGTAATGGTGACGAAGTTTTGATGTCACTTGCTTGGTAATTTTGCGATTTTCGTTTACACTAGTTTGACTTGCAACACAAAGTAAATATTTCACCTTTTTTTATAGTGTGTATATTTTTTTACTGTCAAAATGTGTAACATTTTCAAATTTATTAAACGCCTAGATATTCAGTTATTTTCCAAAGTGACTAAAATAAATTCCATCTGTATTATTATGATAACGAATTCCAAACATTGATGTTAATATCATCACCAAGAGACTGAAAATGTTACGTTGAAAAGTACATTTCTATGTTGTTTGGCTTCTAATCCCACATAATAATCTATTGTAATTGTTTTAGGCCCTTTTGATCGTCTTAATCAATTTTAGTCAATCTGGACAGATTTTTCAGTCAAAATGACTGAAATATTTACACATTTTATAAATTGCCTGAGAGAATCACATTTTACAAATTGACGGTAATATATACACGCTTACAAAGGAAAAGATCTGTGACAACAACGTCTATCGCGCATTGAAGAATTTCCCAACCAAGACGTAGAGAAACAAGAACGAATCGGTTCAAATGAAGGAAAACAAAATGCAGATATCATAATTACAACCTACCAAATTTATGTGTATAAGTTTTAGGCAGCTTCCTTGTTCGAGGAATGTATCCGTGAATATCCACACAAAGGAACGATATCCCACTCGTCTGCAGCTGTACAAAGAAACTTATTCGATGTCACGTGTCTCAGTAACAATCAAATATTTTAAAAGATATATATCGTTTCGGGATCTTATAACCCGTGTTCGTTTCTCAACTGATCACTTGGATTGTTTCAGGTGTTTCACATAGGTGTTAAGTCTCAAGGGTCGGCTGAGAAAGCCCACGTGACAACTATTTTCATAACGTCCACGGTTCCTTAAAACTCCATTGAGTGATAGATAACAATGAGCAATCAATCAACGTATTATCACTTAACCCTTTGTACAAAGTATGTTGTTTTTACATCGGCACTTCACGCCATGATATGAGTGTATTCCCTTTGTTTTAGTAAACCTAGACATGTAAACACTCACTTTTGACTGTGCAAGATAACAGTGATTAATCAATCAACGTATTTTCTGTTAATCCTTTGATGACTAGAAACGATCCGTTGATTTACAAAAAAAGTAAATCAACTGATCATTCACCTCTTGCTAGGCTGCCACGTGCATATTACATAACATACATTTCACCTCACTTCAAACCTGGATTTAGATTGAATAATTACCCCAGACACAATAAATGCCAAATAGGATCCTTTGTCAGGTAATCTAAGTGGTGCTACCACTAATTGTACCTGTAATAAATTCATTAACTGAGCATCAAGTGAATGACGACAAATACACAAGTGTAGGGTTATACGAGAAAACGTGGATGACAACAAGGGAGTAGTAATCGTATTATCGACGCAATCCCAAATCCGAAAATGCTTTCACTGCATGGATACTTTTTTTTATTAAACTATAACCATCTGGGGTATTTCCAAATGACGACATCCGATGAGCCCCGCCGTTCTTTTTGTCTGTTTGTTTAGGCTGAAGAAATTAATTAACATGCGCCCTTTGTCGAAATCTTTATAGATCACAGTTAACCATCAGTGTTCAAAACTGCGTAAAACAAATATTGCCTCCAGCCTCCAGGTTTATTTAGCTGTCCTTGCGGACGGTAGCCCAGTCTCTGGTCATGCTCAGTTGCGTTGCGTATCATCCGGGTATTCATGGGGAAAAACAATAACAAAGGCAACAACCAGTCCGGGGAATTGCGTTAGATCAGTGCCCCTTTAACGTCCAGACGGTCACAATGAAGGTATCACTTACGACCACTGATGTCGTTATCGGTGTTAGATGAGAATTTAGTGATGGTAGACGTGTCAAGGGGTGGGACCTATCATCTATGGTTTGTTTCAACATTTCGGAAAACGTCCAGATCCTCTCCAGCAACCTCCATGGCTTCGCTGAGTGAAAACTAACAGAATCAGTCCACACTCGCCACTATAAGCCATCAATCAACATCAAGGCTGTTTCATCCTATCCGCCTTCTATGAACTCATTAAACAGTAATAACCCCACCTTTGTGTAATCCTTAATCCTGTTTAATTGGCTTCCTGTTTAATCACGTGCCGATGTGTTAGTGCGTCCTGTCCATCATGTTGTTACAGTATTATCCGTCTGTGATTATTCAACCTATTCATGTCATTGTTATTACTGTTAATCATCCGTATAATATATATTTTTTACCGTGTTTCATTATTCAGCCTTGCTTGACAACGGAGGATCTATACCGAAACGTCGCAATTACAGTAGAATAAAAGACGTTATTATTCATAAATTGTGTAAACTTTGAGGTTGCTTGGGATTGTTGATTAAATTGTTTGTTGTGTACAGAATACCTTGTATGATGAAGTCTTTTGTTGAACATTAAAACATTGTCTTTAGTTGACCTCACAGAAGTCTTCGCCGCCAAACAGAGAACTAAATATTTTTGTTTAGCTTCCTTGAAGGTGTCCATTAACTGTACGGGTGAACAAACAAATTTGAAAGCGTAATGGACCATATAATTTGTACAGTATTCAACAAGCTGACCATAAGCCCGCGGGCGACAGACGTAGACATGGACATTGACCTTATGACCTGCATGGAGGCGAGAGGCAGCTGTGTTGAGAACATACACACAGCATCCGTGAACTCCCCAATTGCAAACAAAAGTCTCTCTCAGAACTCTGGTGTTGCATGGCAATTATGGTATTTCCTGTACTATATAATAATAATTCTGTACTATAAAGAAGGACAATGCTAGTATCAATTAGGTCTTTTAGGACAACTGGTAATGTCCGCTAATAAACCTACTGACGCCTTTGAAATATTAGTGTGGACATTATTGGCCATGCTCATACTAACAACTGGCTTTTTTCCTGTCGTATATGTTTTAGACTTCTAGCATGGTCAAGTACGTAAGTATGGGTAAGCATAGTAAACAGGCTGACTTCTCCGTTCCTTGAGAGTTCCTCCTCGATGAGGACTCTAACACTATGTTTGTACTGTCTGAATCAGATCATCGTCGGTCATGTTTCCACATGGGTACAGTGCCTGAAGCCCATTTCTGGTGTCATCGCTATGATTGTGCTGGAATACTGCTCTTAAGCGGCGTTAAAGCACATTAACTACTCACTCCTTTATTAAACGCGAATTTACCGTTGTCTTATCATAATGTCAATGTCAATGTCCCCCACCTCCCACTAAAATGTGGAATAACACTGTTCAGGAACAAATATTGTATTACTTGTGAAATTGTCTTGTAATACATATACTAATTGAAAGGAGTCCATAGAATATCCTCATTTTCCTGAAACTGAAGAACTATCATGAAAGTCTTGCCAAGGTAATGGAAACCTGCTTAGGAGTTTTCGGATACATAGCATGGACAGTTTTGTATCACGATCTGTATGAGACTGCACACCCTCTAGTTGAACATATCAACGATATTTTTGTGAAAGTTTCTTTTGATATATATATAAGAAAGAGGCGCCAAGAGTATCCTTGAGCTGCAGTTTTCGGATATTGTTGTTTCCGGGTCTGCTAGTTTGTTTCCCAGTCCTTGGAGAGAAAAAAGTAAGATGGAGTCCAACTCAAGTCTAGAATGATTTGGCAAGTCTAGATTGCCTCAGCTCTGAAATTAAGCATTGTTCTGGACTCCATTTGGATTTTGTTAATTTATTTTGTAGATATATATTTTTAAATATGATTAATTTATTTCTGGAACTAAATGTCAGTATACGTGTCTACATGAGAGACTACATACGGTCAAGTGCGGGTCAGGTACATGTAATTGGGGTTAGAAAATGTCCAGCTGATCACTGAAGCGTGATGTGGTGGGTGACGTAAGCGAAGCAGAAGGCAACCAGTGAGGTTGAGACGTAATAGGCATTACGACTGGAGAATTGACCCTTGGACAGCGGCTATGTGGCAGTTTGGCAGCCCCGCGGATAACACGTGTAACCTTGACATGCACTCCGATCCTGTATCTACAATATTATCTAATCAGAATGTCACTTGTCGGCCCCTAAGAAGTGGACACTGGAGATCAGCTATAGGAGATCATCTACAGAATGACCGCATGAAACATCAATATTTTCGTAAACTTTCGAAAACTCACATGGCAGTATAACTTCACTCAATGATAACAAACATAATATGATTTTATTACAAAAAGCCAAATATCAACTCTCAGTACACAATGCACGCTTAGAACACAAACACCACACGATAATTTATAAAACAAACAAGCGGAATGTCATCACAATATAAATCGTAACATAAAATAACATAACATAACATAACATGACAGATCTATAGTACAAGCAGAGACCATAAAATATTTTGTGGTCCCTGGTAAAAGGAAACAAAACCTGTTTGCCTTATAAATGTGGTTCAAAATGCATTTATAAATAGAAGTGACAAAGCCCTTTCCATGTTTATAACATATCTCTGCAAAAAGCAGAGTTGATTGTGCGATTCCGACTATATCACAAGCATGTGTTTATGAATCCCTATCAGATAGCGAACATAACAACTGAAGAACTGACAGCGCCCACTTAAACTGTTTATAATGCATGTATATAGACATGCTATTCAATATATGTGACTGAATGTATTCATATATATGAACGATTGAGACAAGCATATAAACGACTAGAACACGTACAGATTACATTATAATTAACCTTTCACAATGGACATATATTGTCTTGGGCAAGATAAACATAGTTTTGAATGTTAATCTGTGTTGGTGTGAGCGGGATAAAACGATTGATAGTTGTGACAAAAGGTGTGAAACTTCTCCAGGTGGTCGCCAGATTCAGCCGAGCACGGTGTGCAGCGAGATGATATTGCTAGTTGAAATGAGTGGAAGGTACTATCGCAGGTTTAGAGGGGTATGCGATGGAGAGGCCGATGGAGGGATGTATGTATTACAAATCGAACTCAACTGAGCTACAAAAGATACCTATCAGTTGGAGGTTTTTATCATAATTTTGAGTTTCTATTGAAAATATGTTACGTTAGCGGTATACTATAAAATCAAATATTTTTGCGATTAGTTAGCACTCAAGGAATAGTTGTACAGTGTTTTAACTTTTAAAACATATTTTGATTTAGAACTTAATAATGCAAACAAACAAAAATTCGCACAATACACAACTGCTGATGGATATCTCAGACAAAATATCTTTGATAATCTATACATTTGTTTTTTGCGGCACACATATTCATTTCAAACACGATAGGGTCATGGGGTTCCCCATTCCCATAATCCAACGTATTTTCTTTTGAAAGATCACCCATCCATTGATTATATTTACAAACTGTTGCAGGAATGAGTGGTGGTTAAAAAGATATAATCAAATGTAACAACAGTCCTTTCAGTTTTCAATTACATAAAAGAGAAACTCGGTGTACTTTCTGCCCCCCCCCCCCCCCCCCCCCCCCCAACACACACACATTTAATTTATATTGAGCGAAGGAAGCGGATGTTTACTGGGTCTCTTTGTCCACCTTGATGGTCGAATAATTGTTCTCGACAAGGACGCACTCGTTGTCGTCTAAATTCCTTCTCTATCGGCGCTTTTGCTGACGTTGCCGTTTTGTTCACGTCTCTCTTGGCACCGTTTTTGCCGTCTAGTTCACTTCTTTGTCGTCGCTGCCGTCTAGTTCTGTTCTTAGTTGTTGCTGTCATTTCTGACATCCCTAGTGTCGCTGTTGTTACCGTCTAGTTTCTGTCTTTTTTGTCGCTGTCGTTGCCGTCTAGTTCGTGTATCTGATTTCGTTGTCGTCTAGTTCACGTCCCTAGTGTCGCTGTCGTTACCGTCTAGTTTACGTCTCTGTTGTCGCTGTCGTTGCCGTCAAGTTCGTGGTTCTGATTTCGTTGTCGTCTAGTTTACGTCTCTGTTGTCGCTGTCGTTGCCGTCAAGTTCGTGGTTCTGATTTCGTTGTCGTTTAGTTTATGTCCCTGTTGTCGCTGTCGTTGCCGTCTAGCCGCGTATATCCATGGAGACTGGCATAGCTGGGTCGACTGGTCAAGTTCAAAATTCTGCAAAGGAAACAAACATATTCAAACTTCAAAAGGTAATGTTCGAAAGATAGCACATGTTCACGTCCCAGACGTATGTTTGAACGATGAGTGAGTGGTGCTTCGGTGATGTACATCGTATCTACTTACATGAAGATGATGAGAACTCCAGCCATGATGCTGGCCATGACGAGGAACGTAGTGTCTGGGTAAGAGGCATCCGTTGCCCGGTATAACAAAATCGTCAGCGTCCCCATGACCGCCGCACACACCATCTCCACACATCCCATCCCCGCATACAAAGCACCTGTAGAGTAACATGATACATTTGGAGCCGTATACATTACACCTGCAGAGTAATATACAGTAGACGGTGCACCTGTAGAGTAATATATAGTAGACGGTGCACCTACATAGTGACATACAGTAGACGGCGCATCCGCAGAGTAACATATAGTAGAAGGTGCACCTACATAGTAACATACAGTAGACGGTGCACCTGCAGAGTAACATACAGTAGACGGTGCACCTACATAGTAACATACAGTAGACGGTGCACCCGCAGAGTAATATACAGTAGACGGTGCACCTGCAGAGTAACATAGAGTAGACGGTGCAGCTGCATAGTAACATACAGTAGACGGTGTACCTGCAGAGTAACATACAGTAGACGGTGTACCTGTAGAGTAATATACAGTAGACGCTTCACCTGCAGAGTAATATTCAGTAGACGCTTCACCTGCAGAGTAATATATAGTAGACGGTGCACCTACATAGTAACATACAGTAGACGGTGTACCTGCAGAGTAACATACAGTATACGGTGTACCTGTAGAGTAACATACAGTAGACGGTGCACCTGCAGAGTAACATACAGTAGACGGTGCACCTGCAGAGTAATATATAGTAGACGGTGCACCTGCAGAGTAACATACAGTAGACGGTGCACCCACAGAGTAATATACAGTAGACGCTTCACCTGCAGAGTAATATAAGCAGATGGTGCACCCGAGGAGCAACACACAATAGGCGGTGAATCTGCAGAGTAATATATATTAGACCGTGCACCTGCAGAGTAACATACAGTAGACGGTGCACCCGCAGAGTAATATACAGTAGACGCTTCACCTGCAGAGTAATATAAGCAGATGGTGCACCCGAGGAGCAACACACAGTAGGCGGTGAATCTGCAGAGTAATATATATTAGACGGTGCACCTGCAGAGTAACATACAGTAGACGGTGCACCCGCAGAGTAACATACAGTAGACGGTGCACCCGCAGAGAAATATACAGTAGACGGTGCACCTGCAGAGTAACATACAGTAGACGGTGCACCCGCAGAGTAATATACAGTAGACGGTGCACCTGCAGAGTAACATACAGTAGACGGTGCATCTGCAGAGCAACACACAGTAGACGATGAATCTGCAGAGTAATATACAGTAGATGGTGTACCTGAAGAGTAACATACAGTAGACGTTGCAACCACAGAGTAACGCAGTAGACGTTGCACCTGCTCAGAACATAGATCTGACATGCACCTGCACTGAACATAGATCTGACATGCACCTGCACAGAACATATGCACATATGCACATGTGATGGTCACCTTATGGTGGTCAAAGATTAACAATTCGCGTGCATATTTCTAGCTCCGATAAATTACTGTCGCAAAGAACCTAGCTATACGTCTCCAGATAGTACGTTGAGTGCATTTCTTTGCATTGCTGCGACATGTCTTTTGTCAGGATCACACCATAGTGTGATGATGATATTGTTATTTGTGTGTCCAACATAACGGGAGGATACCCGTGCCAGCTGGTGTCACATAACGGGAGGATACCCGTACTAGCTGGTGTCACATAACGGGAGGATACCCGTGCCAGCTGGTGTCACATAACGGGAGGATACCCGTGCCAGCTGGTGTCACATAACGGGAGGATACCCGTACTAGCTGGTGTCACATAACGGGAGGATACCCGTGCCAGCTGGTGTCACATAACGGGAGGATACCCGTACTAGCTGGTGTCACATAACGGGAGGATACCCGTGCCAGCTGGTGTCACATAACGGGAGGATACCCGTACTAGCTGGTGTCACATAACGGGAGGATACCCGTGCCAGCTGGTGTCCCATAACGGGAGGATACCCGTGCCAGCTGGTGTCACATAACGGGAGGATACCCGTGCCAGCTGGTGTCACATAACGGGAGGATACCCGTACTAGCTGGTGTCCCATAACGGGAGGATACCCGTACTAGCTGGTGTCCCATAACGGGAGGATACCCGTACTAGCTGGTGTCACATAACGGGAGGATACCCGTGCCAGCTGGTGTCACATAACGGGAGGATACCCGTACTAGCTGGTGTCCCATAACGGGAGGATACCCGTGCCAGCTGGTGTCCCATAACGGGAGGATACCCGTGCCAGCTGGTGTCACATAACGGGAGGATACCCGTACTAGCTGGTGTCACATAACGGGAGGATACCCGTACTAGCTGGTGTCCCATAACGGGAGGATACCCGTACTAGCTGGTGTCACATAACGGGAGGATACCCGTACTAGCTGGTGTCACATAACGGGAGGATACCCGTACTAGCTGGTGTCCCATAACGGGAGGATACCCGTACTAGCTGGTGTCCCATAACGGGAGGATACCCGTACTAGCTGGTGTCACATAACGGGAGGATACCCGTACTAGCTGGTGTCACATAACGGGAGGATACCCGTACTAGCTGGTGTCACATAACGGGAGGATACCCGTACTAGCTGGTGTCACATAACGGGAGGATACCCGTGCCAGCTGGTGTCACATAACGGGAGGATACCCGTACTAGCTGGTGTCACATAACGGGAGGATACCCGTACTAGCTGGTGTCACATAACGGGAGGATACCCGTACTAGCTGGTGTCACATAACGGGAGGATACCCGTACTAGCTGGTGTCACATAACGGGAGGATACCCGTACTAGCTGGTGTCACATAACGGGAGGATACCCGTACTAGCTGGTGTCCCATAACGGGAGGATACCCGTACTAGCTGGTGTCACATAACGGGAGGATACCCGTACTAGCTGGTGTCACATAACGGGAGGATACCCGTACTAGCTGGTGTCACATAACGGGAGGATACCCGTACTAGCTGGTGTCACATAACGGGAGGATACCCGTGCTAGCTGGTGTCACATAACGGGAGGATACCCGTACTAGCTGGTGTCACCAAAGTGGGAGACTTCCACAGTCCGATTCACAGCCACATAAAGGTCAGGTGAAATAGTGTTTAACGTCGCATTCAAGATTATTGCACTTATATACCGACGCGTGTGCACGTATGAGTGTGTGCTTGCGTGCGTGCGTGCGTGCGTGCGTGCGTGCATGCGTGAGCTTGTACTGGTCTGGACAAATGCCGATTTATAGTGCTCGCCCACTGAGATACCATGCAACACTTTGACATGCGAACCCTACTCCGACACAGTATACTGACCAGAGCCGAGCAGCCCTTGTTTTAGCCCCTTAATGCAGAGCTTCCGGGTAGGGTAAGAACAAGTACAATCTTTTAACGCCTTTTGGATATGACGCGCCCGGGGATCGAACCCCCGACCTTCCAATCTCCAAGCAGACGCCCTACCACCAGACCACGGAGGCGGTACTTCCACACGTGGTGAAATAACTGGATTCGGTCCAAAGCGGCGTTACAGCCAACTCCCTCAATGTGACATACACAAACCGTTTCATTTGACCAAAACTAAATGAGTTGTTTTTCCGTGTATCGAAAAAACATAAAGCGAACGATCATTACAATCTATCTATGTGTGCAGTGACCACCATTTCCAAAATGTCGAAATTTGAATATTTACTCGCTTTCCAAGAATACTTCCAGATTAAGTTTTATGAAACTGCATTGCATTGGACGTCTTAATCAAGGACGATCAGGGTTAAATTAATTTGAGTAGTTGGAAGGATGGTAAAAAATCTAGATTTTAACGGTGTAGAATGACAGCATCAGGATGTTACTGTTAAACTTCAGAGGAAGAGACATCCGGATAAAACGCCTCTATTTCATCGGAAAACAATGTCCAAGTTCTCGGCCTTAACAAACGATAACAATCAAAACAGTTTTCCGCGTATTCAAAAACTTCTATACCAATTTGGACTGAAAACAGATTCCTTACCTTGCTCGTCTTGTCTGACACTGCCCGACATAATGGAACGAAGCATGGGAATTGTCAGTCGCATAAACACACCAGTTCCCAGAACTGTAAAGAAAACTGGCATATTTATCTTGTAGGCACAACCCAACAGAACAATGAAACAAGTATAGAGGGTACTCTTTACAACATGTAGACTGCACAAAATGCTTGCCCCAGCATCGCATTCAGACAGTAACTGCATTTACGTACTTGTCCCAGGCGTCACAATCCGCCGTGAAGTGTTGCGTCTTGCAGTCGCGGGTTCGAATCCAGCATTCGCCCTCATTTTCATCATTGGTTTGTCAGCACCATACCAGTGCCGTGCTCACGAAGCAAATACGAGTTGTGTTTACAAATGTATCATTTCGGGATTTTCATCCATATGAAGCTGACACTGAAGTCACTGACTCACTGAATCACTGAATCGCTCACTGAATCACTGACTGAATCACTGACTCATCAACTCACTCAGACAGTAGGACTCACCTGCATACACAATTTTATCATACGTGGCGAATGACATGATGAAACACGCCAGGATGGATGAAACACACCCCACGATCCCGATGGTCCTATCCTCCATGCCGAGCACCTTCTGGAACACTGGCATACAGGCCAGGATGATCAGCCAGCAGACCACTACCCTCACTGCCATCACGGTGTTGATCTTCTCTTGATCCCAACACAAGTTGGGTTTGATCAGGAACATACTCATTATGCCAGGTTTGGAGAAGTTGACAGCTACCGTGAAGATGAAGGCAACCATTCCAAGAACTAACGTCAGTTGTCTTCTGTCTTCAGTATCTTGGCAGTAGAAACTGAAGCATCTCTTGATGTTTGTCATTATGGCGAAGCATGGAGTTCGAATTCGGACATGGAGCGTCTCTGGAAGAAGTGCGACAGTCAATATTATGTTGACAACGTTTAGACCCAGTGCGATAAGAACGCAGTCAAGGAATCGTAAGTATTTTATGCCGAATCCAGTTGCAAAGCCTCCCAGGGATGTAGCGATGGATTGAGTTGCTTCCGCTACGGAGATTCTCAACGTCCTGTCTTTTCCAGGGAGTGTGAGATCAGCAACCATGCCAAATGCAGCCATCAGCATAGCAGCAAATCCTCCCGTCAAGCCTTCAATCCCATTACCGATGAACAAAATTCTTACAGGTAATCTCTTCCAAATGACCACAAGGTATATTATTTGTTTGACAAGTGTTCCCGCCATCGGTATGAGAAAACCAATCTTCCTTCCAAGTCTATCAAGGAGAGGTCCAAGCAGCAAGGTAGGGACCAACCCTGGGAAGAACGATATAAACGGATTTGGTGTCATAATCTCAGTAACCTTCTTCTGAAGCTCCATCTCCTGATGGTGGTGAGTGCTGTTACTGCAAGGATGTGAGGAGCTGATGTTGTAGTGATTCTCGTCACTGACGACGTCGATGACGTAGAAGACGATGACAGGGAAGCATATTGAGTAGTTGAAGAAGTGGAGACTCAAAGACAGAAGGAGCACAAGAAATGACATGGTGGTACTACATCGAGTGCTGCTGTCGTCCAGACTTGCCAGAAGCGGTGTGCGGGATGAGGTCTGTACAGACATCGTTTAAGACTACCGCAACATGGATGTTTGTATTTCTCTGTATTGGTATAATAGAAAAAAACAAGATAAATATATTAAACACCTGTCCATGCTAACTTGTAAAATTTCAAAACCCATATTATAGTATATTCACATATGTTATCACGCGAGTGTGTTTTGGGATGGTAAATATCCTGTATGAGGAGTGAGTGTGTGATTTTGGCTTAATGCCGCATCATCTATTCGCGGCGATCCTGTGTTAGGAAGACATTTTACTTATAGAGCTCAAATAGACCCAAGAGTGATAACCTCTTCATCATGTAATACCTTTGACCTTCTGTCGCCTAACACAGCATTCTTATCTCTCACAAACGATACCTAAACATTACAAGTTTTACCTGACCGTGGGCATAAATCTAAATATAAATCACACGGTAGTGATTGTCAGTCGGATAGTTACAAAAGTCCATATAGTTCAAAACAGAAACTTTTTTTTTCAGACATTGGCGTAACTACCATACAGGCAAAGAAAATCGCCTACACCTGATTTAGTTACTGATCGCCATACGCGGCGGCAATCCATCGGTACGCCAGCTAGAGTAACAGTCCTTTGCCAAAGGGAAGATACTCCAGTCCAAAAGAAGTCATGTTTGTTTCGAGTCTGCCTGGCATCTCATAACGTTACGTAATGCAGTCAAATGTCCCACATTGCGACAAAACGAAACCAGGTTCAGTTTCAACCAAATCCAATTGTTTTCAATTCGCGAAAAGACACAAAGCAGCAGAGGCCTAGTTTGTGCAAGCACAGATACGGAAACTGATCTCTTTGGCGTCCTCGCTAACATTACTTCATAATTTATGTCTCCTATGCTGCCTTCACATGTAGAAGGTCTCAACTACGCCTTGTTAGACTCTGATTATTATTTTGATACTAGTTTTGCGAGTAATGTGGGAAGATCCCCGTCAAATTTGTCTGGATCGGGGTGCTGGATCTTAGCTGGAGATTAGATATCTTTTCAGTTACAACTGGATATATTTTTAATTAAAACTTTGGGTCTAAATATGTTTTTAAGAAAGAAGCGTAATTATAAGAAGCATAATTATACTTTTCGAGAATTTTCTGGGACAATTTATTTCTTTTTCGATAAAATCCCCGCGGCTGTATCACCAGTAATCGACTCGTCTTGTTCGAAGCCGTCTCAAACACAACAGGGACGCACACGTCTTGTAACATAAAGACTTCCCTTTTCTTAATACTCCCCAAAATATCTTTCCATCTGAAACTTCATTTATAACAGGGGGAAAGGTGGCCCTGTCGTCTAAGGTGATACAATTCGGTGTACTTTGGTACCAAAGAACCGTGGGTTGGGAGCATCATACCCGCGGTCGTGGGGTTCACCAAAGTGTGAACGTCTGAGGCCTGCATCACTTTGGGATTTCCTCACATATCAAGGTGACATGCCGTGATATAACTGGAATGCTGTTCAAAGAGACGTCAAACTCACTCACTTAAAACAGCCTCATGTTTCGATTATATATATCTAGGGATCAAGTTCACGAGGCCGTGACATTGAATGTAGATCAACGTGTATATGTCGCACTCAGAAGTGTTATTTCCGTGCTAACTTAGTGAAGTGAAGTAAGAGAATATTTATGTAGATTATGACGTCAATTCCGGAACCAAGTTAGGATGAATATCATAATCGGATGTAGATGTGATACACTTGATAATCAAGGATGATACATTTTATATAAAAAATTCAATTCATATTTGAACAGAAGAACCAATGTGATATTTATCAAGTGCGACAGATCGAGGCAGTAACTGACTTAATGTCAATGGATAGCAATGACGCTATCTATCAGTCTAATTGTCAGTTTTCTATCAATAATTTCACTAATTTATCCATTGTATATTTTGCCATTTGTTTAACCTTCTCTCCTTATCATTTATTTATATATAACCCATTCTTTATTTACGCATTAAGCTATGACCCACCTCTTAGACCATTGTCTATCTATATATACAATCGTGTCTGTGAAGCGTCGAACAATGCAGGAAGGAAATATTCATTAAATATGTCTGAGAACTATTGTGTCCATGTTGTCAATATCGTCCTTAAAGCTTCAGAATATACAAGAATATTATGTTATACAACTGTATTTTAGCGTCCCATTCCTTCGATTGTCAAATGTCATCATGGCACACATGAAATGACAGCTCGAGTGAGATAACCAAATAAGCCACGATATATATACTCTTTTATTTAGTCCTATACGAATTGAGTTTTATTATCGATAAGTAAAATATTTTTCTGCCCAGCTTATAGTAACAATTTAACTGAATAAAGTCAGAAATATTTCATGATATTGAATTTCTAATCACATTATCAGTAGGGAGCTGCGAGCCTGGTGGGTTAGGGTTTGCTTTTATTGATCATCTGGTCTGTCTGTCCGTCCGTCCGTCTGTTTGTATATATCTGAGTGGCTTTTTAGAAACTGGAGCATTAATGAATTGAGGTGGATCTTTACTTCTTTGTTTTGTCATTGCGTTTTGTCGGCTTGTGATTATATCAAGTAATTTATTGATTTATTTATTGATCCTACGACTTGGTAGGACTTGTTATACGGCTAAGATTCCTGTGGCCACGTTCTTTAATACGTTGAGTGAGGAAAACATCTGCCTACAATTTTTTTCGACAGTATCTTCATCAGCCGATGACGCATTCAAGCTTAAAGTCTGTAGAGGTATTTACTTGCTACGTGTAAACATGACAAACGAAATGCAGTTGTGCCAGGCCCTCTGTGTTGTAGTGAGTAGCAGGGGACAAATGTGCACTATTGACTTAAACACACGCAGACAAGGAAGTTAAATTGTTTCAGCACAAACGACAATTTAAAGCCTACCCACGTGTGAGTAATGTAACCTGCGATTCGGTGGTCACTGCCATAAAGTAACTCTAATTGATTTGCCCTCATTATGCCATATCAAACTTAAGTAATATATCAACTCACCGTGCCGCGAAGAGACGATTTGACTCCCTCAAGCCTCCACAAGTCAACTTCCTCTTTCAACCTGGTTGGATTTCCCAAGCTTACTGCACAAGTATACAGCAGTTACCCCCCTTTACCCGCATTACACAGCAAAACTGCAGAAGGAAGGGAGGGAGCTCACTGCGAGATCTGTCACGAGATTAACAAGGGAAAACCCCATTTTGTTCCTGAACGAACGTTTGTCTTGATTTTTAGTGAGCAATGCGTTATTTTTGTGGCTTATGTAAGATGCACGTAATTTTGATGACGCGGTTCTCACATTACCGTTTCACTGACACTGTGCAGAAAACAATGAAAGTTGATGGCATGATGACCTCCGTCGGTTACGCTGCATGTTAAACCATTTATTTCCTTTTCCTTGTTGCTGATTGTTGTCTGTGTGCGGGGCGAGGCTGATCTGGGTCGGGTGGTGTTAGACTTTATGCCTCCAAATAAAGTTATGTACTCGGTTAAATAACAATGCATGTCATTCTGTAAGGGAACCTCGAGTATGAGGACATCCTGAAGTCTCTAATTTCCTGGACCTTACAAGGAGATGAGTATAGGCCGCTAGATCCTAGAAGGGATGGGAATGGAATAGGGGCAATTGTGTTATTAAACATATCATCTGGGCTCTGCAAGAGATGTGTTTGTTTGTTTATTGTTTAACGCCGCACTCAAGCTATTCTAGGTACATGACCTCGGTCTGTAAATAATCGAGTCTGGACCACACAATCCAGTGATTGATATTATGAGCATCGATCCACGCAATTTGGATACGATGACATGCATCAACCAAGTCAGTGAGCCTGACCACCGATCCCGTTAGTCGCCTCTCATAGTCACCTCTTACGACAAGGATAGGTTGCTGAAGACATATTCTATCCCGGATCTTCGAGGGTGTCTGCAAGAGAATAATCTAGGTCGGTGAGTAGCCTCCCCCCAGTGTCATTTATACCCTGTCGTCCCAAATCCTTGTTGACACGAGAAAGGCAGAAATCCTCACATAGTTTGATAAAACTGCCATATATGGGGTGGATGTATGGGAAGTGTCTTCATCTCCAAGTGCTTGGTTGACTTACGTAGTCCAGTTACCATTCACCCTAAGTTTCCGGATGCTGCATGAAAGATCAAACAAATGAATAAATGTTGGCAACCTTTAGTTGTGGACTCGTGGGAAGCAACGAGTTTGGATCTGGACCTCACTCAATACAACTCATATGGAGGACGGTACATACAGATGTGAACCACACCTTACTTATTCGACAGCATGGCTGCTCACGTTATCGACCACCTGTTTGTTCGGGCCAGCCTCAATTACTTCCTGTACTGGTTATTTTATTAACTATGACTCCAAACATTCATAAAAAATAACAGAATATGGATGTTGAAATAATATTTTTTTTATTTCTGATATTCATTGTTTCTCAACATATCGTGACACCATACTGATGATAAGGATTCATTTTCACCGGTGGTCACTAACCTACCTACGCCACGTAGTCTACGAAAACATTACACACCAACACAAAACCCGGAACTAAGGCTCAGCCCCCTGTAATCTAGATGGAATCCTCCATCTTTGGCACTTGAACATACAAGGTAATTACACAGCAAAAGAATTGAAACAATATAAAAAAACACGTAAATAATGCCCGTCTACCTTGGTATGAATATTAATATATATTATACACATATATATTATGCTGAGTGCTATGCGGTGTAGTTATTAGCCAAATATACCGGTGCAAGGAGCGCAAGCAACACCGGGAAACATTTAATTGGCGTGCAGCTGTTGAAGTCCGTGTCTGCTGTGAGTGTCTGTAATATTTCCATATTAACATATGAAATTTCACAAAATATAATACTCACCGATTGGGTAAAGGTATTCTAAGAAAGACACAGACACATACGCACACGAACACACACGAACACACACACACACGAACACACGCACGCACGCACGCACGCACGCGCACGCACGCACGCGCGCGCACACACACACACAAACACACACACACACGAACACACACACATACTCCTGTAAGTAGGTGGCAGTTCTCTTGACTCCCAGCAGGTTCATATAAACCTGTCCATGCAGAAGGGTGTTTGTTTGTACCGTAAGTATTTTGTCATCACAACATTAGCGTTATTACGTCAACTAATTGTACCACAAACTGCACTGAGCATGCGCATTCAACTGAATCATGAATAATTCCCTTTTGTATTTCAAGAGGGTATGTGGGGCGGTCGGGTAGCCTAGTAGTTAAAGCGTTTGCTCATTACGATGAAGCCCCGGGTTCGATTCCCGACATGGGTACAATGTGTGAAGCCCATTTCTGGTGTCCCCCGCCGTGATATTGCTGGAATATTGCTAAAAGCGGCGTAAAACTATACTCACCCACTCACTCAAGAGGGTTTGTCCCTCCTGTATGTCCTTCTTAAAACACAATTTTACAATTGTTTGAATTCCGATACACCCGTAACCACAGATAGGCATGCATTTGCATATACATCATACTTTGATGGACATATATATCATCAGCACTGATATACTGTGCAAAATCTCCGTCTCCCGGTAGCGCCTTATGCAGTTTCGTCTCAGTTGTCAAGTTTTATATTTGTGGACTTCCCCTTCGTCTTGTGAAGGTTCCAGCTCAAAAATCTGGAAGTATAATAAACAAATAGACAAACTTTTTCTGTATTCTTGTTAAAGATCCAAAGACTATGTTGCCATTGATAACAGTTTAAAAAACATGCACATATAAATATGATATTAAATTTAAGCTTACACGAAGGATTTCTTTTGTTTTCAGGTGTCTTCTGTGATAATAAATTGTGAGGAGTTGCTGGTGTTGATACTATGATACAATGCCATGCATCAACCAAGTCCCAAGACTGACCACCCGATCCCGTTAATCGCCTCTTACGACAAACATAGTCGCTTCTTTCGGCAAGCATCAGTTGCTGAAGACCAATTCTACCCCGGATTTTCACAGGTCAGCACCAACCTATGATGTTTATGCCACTGTGATACATATCCATATCTGTATACTTACATGAGAGCACAAGTCAACATTGCCATGAGAAGCGCCAACACGACGAACACAAGTCCGGGGAAGAAGCCGACAGAGCTTGTGTAGCCAGCTGTGGCCGCCAAGCCAAGCACCGCTCCTGAGAACATCTCGACAACACTGATGCTGCCGAACAGTGCGCCTGGAATATAAACAGTGCCTGTTCAAAGATCACGCTGGTACGAGAATCAACGTGCATGTCGACGGGAGTATTGAGATTGTTTCTTTGTTTGACACCGCACTCAGCAATATTCCAGTTGTATGACGGCGGTCTGTAAATAATAGAGTCTTGGCCAGATAATCCAGTGATTGACATCATGAGCATTGATCCGAGCAATTGAGACCGATGACATGCATCAACCAAGTCAGCGAGCCTGACCACCCGATCCCGTTAGTCGCCTCTTACGACAAGCATAGTCGCATTCATTTTTCAGGCAATGCATCCACCCCTCCTGGCCTATCCTTAACGTGGAAGATGGATTTCTGAGTGGGCATTCTAATTGGGGCTACAGGTGTCAGGTGACTACCTTGGGCTGAAGAACCCATTCCCTCAGGGTACACAGGCACACACTTCATGAGCAACCATCTGGTCATTATATTCTTCGACTGTTGCGACAATAGAACTGGACATAGAGAACTGGACCTACCCTGCTCATCGCTTGACACTAGTCTGGACATCACAGATCTCATCATCGGCGTCACCAACTCCATGAATACACCCAAAGTGGCACCTGAGGAATAATTTAATACAGGGGAGTTAATCTTTAAGGTGGCATTGGCAATATCATTTCAATAAAGCGACTCTAGATGATAAACTTCTACTCTTAGATGCATCTACATAAGTAGTAAAATGTTCATTCCTGAACTGTTATAAATTAAGTGGATGAGTGAGTGAGTTGGGTGAAGCACCGCTGGTTAGTATTTAAGAAACAACTGTGTAAGGAAGTCCTGAGTGTCCCATGATGTAATAGTGGTAAATCTGTTTCAAACTCACGACCAGCGTATCCTGACACAGCAAAGGGAAGCAACTCTGCATATGGTTACCAGAGTCACCTTTTAAGAAAATGAACTTTATCTGCGGACCATCCGTAACCATTTTGTCACACACTATGACCAAACACATTTGTGAAAGATATGTGCTAATTGTCTTATATATACCCACATCTACAGTGTCTTACATATTTGATCATGGTGCAATGGCCAGTGAAGAGCATTTTGTACGCACACTGCACTAGTCATGGCGATATATCCTTCGTAACCTCTTTTCAGGGAAACAAATTATATGTTTTGAAACAGTGCCTGAAAGTATATTCAATATTAAATGGCTGCTCCCTTATATCCCTCGGCACAAAATATCCGCATAGCAGCCTACAGACTAGGATGACCTTCCCACGTCAACCGTCGTCATCGTTGCAGTTTTTCACGCCATTCGACGTCCTCTTACCTACAACTATGCAATTATGTCGCATTGCCAGTTACCGCGTCAACCGTATATTTACTCACCAGCATATATCATTGCGTCATCTACGGCCAGGCCGACGATCAGTAGACTTAGGAAGGTTGACGTGGTGCCCATCACTGCCAGGTTGACGTCGGAGAGGACGTGGCCAAGACAGCGCGTTAGCAAGAGGATACACAGCCAATCAACGATCATCGTGATAGCGGCATATATGGTAATGTGTATCATTGTCCAACAAAAGGGTGACTTGAGAAGAAATAGCGTCAGAATAGTATTCTGGGCTATACTTACAGAAAACGTGAAGAAAAACACCACAAGAGATATTTGCAACTTCCAGCGCCGTCTATCGGGAGTATCAATGACATAAAACATTAAACTTTTCTTCAGTCCTCGGAGGGGATCTATCAATGAAAATGGTGCTCCTGATTTCTTCCTTGTTTCGGGAAAGATGAAGAGAACAATCGCCATGTTGATGACGCTGACGGCGATCATGGAGTAAAGAGGTTGGAGGTAGCCGCTGATTTGTATCCACACCCCACTGACACCTATCGATACAGCTGCTGATAGAAATAGACTGGCTTCTGTAGTAGTGATCCTGAATGCTCGCTGCTTGCCAGGCTCTGTTATATCAGCAACTGTCCCGAATAATGCCACCAGCATGGCGCCGTAGAAGCCGCACAAGCCTTCTAGGACGTTGCCAATGTACAGGTAGTTGACATTGGCATCCAGGTTGAAAATGGCAACATAGACCAATTGTTTAGCGGTTGTTCCTGCTATGGCGAGAATGCACGCAATCTTCCTTCCATGTCGGTCGGTCAGGGCCCCGATGAAGATAGTAGGCAGGACGCCACTGAAGGTGCTGGCGAACAGCAGACCCATCATCACCGTCGAGGTCTCTGCTTGTACCTTGAGCTCAACTTCGAACGCGGATGAGTTGCGGTTATTGTCCTCACACGGAAGAGGGTCAGTGCTGTTAACGCCGCCGTATTTGGCGGACATTTTGTCAAAGACGTAGAACTGTGTGTGGGGGTAAGCGAAGAAAGTCGTAAAGAAATATAGGAATGAGATGACTTCCACGGGGACATAGCCACGTTTTCCACTGGCATCTGAAAAAGAAATACGTTGTTTGAGCTATGCATACATTCCAATAGACAGATCTATGTCGTAATTTGATCGATATTGTTTCATGTATGATTCAACTCAGTGAACATGTTGCCTGCATATTTAGGTATTATTCTAAATACCCTAAATATTCTCTTGCTCATAAAGATTTTCCAAAATATAACCAGGAAAATAATATGCATATTTATGCAAATGCAAATTGGTGTAAGGTTAAACCTCTGAACTCCTGTCGTGTGCATCTTGCATACCTGAGTATATGTAGTGTTCGGGGCAGGACATTTGCCTTGTGCATCTTGCATACCTGGGTTCATGCAGAATTCAGGGCAGGACATTTGCCTTGTGCATCTTGCATACCTAGCGATATGCAGTGTTCGGGGAAGATATTTGCCTTGTTTATCTTACATACCTGAGTATATGTAGTGTTCGGGGCAGGATATTTGTTTTGTGCATCTTGCATACCTGAGTATATGTAGTGTTCGGGGCAGGATATTTGTTTTGTGCATCTTGCATACCTGAGTATATGTAGTGTTCGGGGCAGGACATATGTTTTGTGCATCTTGCATACCTGAGTATATAGAATGTTCGATGGAGGATGCCTTGTGCATCTGGCATACCTAGCAAACTGGAGTGCTCGGGGGCAGGGTATTTTCCTTGTGTGTCTTGCATACTTAGTGACATTGCAGTGTTCGGGGCAGAATATGTGGCTTGTCCATTATGCACACCTGAGTACATCGGAGTGTTGGGGTGAGGATATTTGCCTTGTGCATCTTACATACCTAGGTTCATTGGAGTGTTCAGGGCAGGATTATTATTGCCTGAGGGCATGTCTAAATACAAGCAGGGGGCACGGGTGGCCCTGTCGTCTAAGGCGCCGCGATTCGCTGTGCAGAGCTGCGTCCCTTGGGCACGCCAGAAACATATGATTGTGGGTTCGAATCCCGGTTCGCCCCGATATTGTTTCTAGGCCTGTCAGCACCATACCCGTGCTCGTGGGTTTCACCGAAGTGGTAAACATCTGAGACCTGCATCACTTCGGGCTTTCCGCCCACATTAAGCTGACACGCCGTGATAAAACTGGAATACTGTTAAAAGCGGCGTTAAACCTTACTCACTCACTCACTAAATACAAGCAGTATTTAGAAAGAACACGTCCAGATCACGACATATGCTGAAGGAGCTCACATTATTTTTAAGAAGATATTCCCCCTATCTCCTTATTCCTGTAGTTCAATGTACGGAATCTTATCTAGATATATTATTTAAAGTGTTTTAAGTGCAATTGCATTGTACAAAACGTTCACCTGTGATGTGGCAGTCCCAACTACAAAACGTCAGTGTGTAGATTCACCTTACCTTTAAAAGACACGCATGAATCATACGGTCACTAAACCCAGGGCGCTTCTGTTGAATCGCGACGTTACGGCTGGCCTGCTTCGCGACTCCAACGATATAGTTCCTGAACCCCTTACGTCAGCAACATAAAATTCCTCCATCCCAATTCGTTCATCGTTAAAGTAACTTAATACATCATATTTGCAATATGTATAGATGCAGGGGTGATCAATCTCCACCACCACCTACTTTTGTAAGCATACTAATAATGTTGACGTATAAATCACACAAAAATGTGTGTGATATCAAAATATCAGTGTGTGATAAAGTCAACAGAAATAGCATTAATAAACTAATATTTGGGTAAAAATGCAAATTGCTTACAGAATTATGTTCTCGCATTTTTGTATTTTAAGCGCATCAAACCCAACCCCAGCATTTCCAAAATACGCTCTCCTCAACTACCCCACCGCCCTTGTTTCCCACCCTCGTTTGCCACTTGCACTTACCCTTTCTGTCCACTAAGGGGGTCTGCTCCGTTGGGTCTTTTTGGGTCTCGTCCACGGGGTTATATTCCTGCTTCATCGTGACTGCGACAAGTGGACACACACCTTAAACAAACAATGCGGGGTGTCAATGTTACCGATTGACAGTAGCGAAGATGTCGCTGTAATGTATTAATGCAAGTGTTGCTGTTCCCCCGTATTCCCCCTGAGTTCACCAAGTGAAGCACGAACTGTGCTATCGTCCTCTCCTGTCCTTCTGACCTTCTTAATCTCATGCAACCCACACACAGCTGTTTTACACCTCTGAACGTTTTACTTGAAGCCAGTTTGACCTGCTTTCGAACCGTCATTCAAACTTTGTAAAACAGCTGAACAGTAGCTATTAGACAACCCAGGTATAGTCAAGGATGAGTGGCTTTGGCCGTGATCTATTAATACTGTCATGACCGTTATCTGTTAATACTGTCATGACCGTGATCTGTTAATACAGTAAAGCATGTGCTCTGTTAATACTGTAATGTTTGTGTTCTATTAATACTGTAATGCCTGTGATCTGTTAATACAGTAATGCCTGTGCTCTGTTAATACTGTAATGTTTGTGCTCTATTAATACTGTAATGCCCATGCTTTGTTAATACTGTAATGCCCATGCTCTGTTAATACTGTAATGCTCGTGATCTGTTAATACTGTAATGCCGGTGTTCTATTAATACTGTCATGCCTGTGATCTGTTAATATTGCAATGCCTTTGATCTATTAATACTGTAATGACCGTGATCTGTTAAAACTGTAATGCCCGTGATCTATTAATACTGTTATGCCCGTGCTCTATTAATACTGTAATGACCGTGATCTGTTAATAATGTAATGCCCGTGATATGTTAATACTGCAATGCCCATGATATGTTAATACTGTTATGCCCATGCTCTGATAATACTGTAATGTCTGTGCTCTATTAATACTGTAATGCCTGTGATCTGTTAATACTTTAATGCCCGTGATCTGTTAATACTGTAATGCCCGTGCTCTATTAATACTGTAATGACCGTGATCTGTTAATACTGTAATGCCCATTCTTTGTTAATACTGTAATGCCCGTGATCTATTAATACCGTAATGCCTGTGCTCTGTTAATACTATAATGTTTGTGCTCTATTAATACTGTAATGCTTGTGATCTGTTGATACTGTAATGCCCGCGATCTATTAATACTGTAATGCCCATGCTCTGTTAATACTGTAATGTTTGTGCTCTATAAATACTGTAAGGACCGTGATCTGTTAATACTGTAATGCCCGTGATCTATTAATATTGTAATGCCTGTGCTCTGTTAATACTATTATGTTTGTGCTCTATTAATACTGTAAGGCTTGTGATCTATTAATACTGTAATGCCCGTCATCTATTAATACTCTAATGACCGTGATCTGTTAATACTGTAATGCCTGTGCTCTGTTAATACTGTAATGTTTGTGCTCTATTAATACTGTAATGCCCATTGATTGTGAAATACACGCTTCTTATCTCAACGTTTGTGTACAGGTGTATGTCCATGTCAAAACCACTTTTTGTATTGCATATATTGACCTTACTTCATAAAATAATGGGATAGTGAATGTCATCATTGTCAGTACATTAATATATAAAATAGTAGGACAGCGAATTTCATACTTATCAGTCCGCTCATACTTTATAAAATAGTAGGACAGCAAATTTCATGCTTATCAGTCCGCACATACTTTATAAAATAGTAAGATAGCGAAGTTCATCATTATCAGTACGATAATGCCTTAAAAATAGTTAATAGTGAATTTCATCAGACAGACAGACCGACAGGATCACAATCAGATCTGTATTCAGCATTATTTGCAGAGGCATCACGCATAGGCTTTATAACCTTGGCCATCATGCTTGTTTTGTATGTGACCTACTGACGCATTGATACGACACTCGAGGTGGATCTGCACTTGTTATTTGTTGTTCATATTATCAAATATTACTCTGTTACCTAAAAGGTTCAAGGTTACAATACGGCGTTAGTAATACTCAGATCCATGGTAATGAGGTCCATGATGTTCACCTCAGGGACGCTGTGTCAAACTCAATTACATTATCCAAGCTTCACCTGTCCATTCCAGTCTTACGTTTATACGTCTGTCACAATCCCATCTCCACCCATCTGTCACAATCTCATCTCCACCCGTCTGTCACAATCTCATCTTCACCCGTCTGTCACAACCCGATCTTCACCCGTCTGTCACAATCTCATCTCCACCCGTCAGTCACGATCCCATCTCCACCCGTCTGTCACAATCCCATCTCCACCCGTCTGTCACAATCCCATCTCCACCCGTCTGTCACAATCCCATCTTCACCCGTCTCCAAGCGTCTGTTCCAATATCATCTTCAAAAATATATACTAATCTCATCTTCATCCGTGTATCCCAATCTCTGCTTCGCCCGTCTGTCCCAAATTCATCTTTATTAGCACCCGAGTTTTGACAGTTTCCCATACAGTGTGCCTGCTTGTTATATAAACCTGTCACATTGTCAAGTTGTGGCCAACATTAAACATCGTTCAACACGACCGAGCATACCTACATTTGAGGACAAACACCAGCAAGGCTAGTGACTCAACTGATTCTTTGAACGTTTGTGTAATCACATAATACTGTTAATTAAAGTAACTCATACAATTTGTCGGGTATATGTGAGATGGAAGGCTTGAACTATCACATTTTTATCTACACGTATAGTGCCCCGATCTGTCCATTAAGATTATCATAACACGTACAGCTGCATGAGCTCCAATATGAACCATGTTAACGTGAGTCTTCACCAGGATATGGTAGAACGCATACAACACGCGTGACGCTACTGTCGGCCATATGGAATTATCATGACCTGCTCAATTTTTTTTCTTGTAATGTCTAGTTTGCAACATGTCATCACTCATCAAATGCCCACACCCAAAGTCTGGATATGCGTGTCCGTTTCAGATGGATGGATGACTGGATAGATGGATAGATGGATGACTGGATGGATGGATGGATAGATGAATGACTGGATGGATGGATAGATCCGTAGAACTTAAGAACTGAGCTTAACGTTCTGGAATTGTTATGAAATTTATCAGGTATGTTGATAGTTGTGAATAGAAACGAAATGCATAGGTAAGCAAAAAGCGTGTCACAAAGGTTAATTTTAGCGTTTTCTTAATATTTGAACATGAGCAAGACTTTGACCCAAACTGAAATGTACCTAAAACATTATAAACATATGTTACAAATTCAGCTTTGGTCACGGACTTGCTCATACTTAGACTTGTTCACTCATTTTGGCCTTATTTGTGTATTTGACCACGCCCGGAGTTCAGAACTTGCTGGTGTAAATAAAGCGACAAAACCCTTTCCATATCCAATTGAAATATCCGCATAAAGCAGCGTCGATTGTACAATTCAGACTATATCATGAGCATGTGTTTATGAATCACTATCAAAGTGTAATGATACCAGGTATTCGTGAAAGGGTGAGCATATCCTGCCCCACCGGTGGCATCCGTCACAAAAGAAAGAAAATAGGTTAGTTGTCAGACATTTCAACACGTCTGATCATTTTCATATCAATATTCCAAGTGTCACACCACTTTTTGAATTCGATATTTTCTGTGGACCAAAGGGGCCCTTATCCTGCTTCCTCCTTTGCATCTCAAACATAGAAACTATACCATGTGATAACTGATCCATGGACACAGATTGCGAACAGTACATTGAACATTGTGTGTATCATATCAGTTCAAGAAGCTTTGCTTTGCCCCTTTATTACGTATTGATTAGCAGGTGCTTAGCGGACTGCAGGTGCTTGTCGGCATCTTACAAAGGCGTGGGTCGACCCTAGCCTCTGTCCGAGGGTCAAGTTAAGACTCACGCAAAGAATTATAATTTAACCATCAGCCAAATAAGAGTCAGGGTGCCAGGTATTGACACGGATTGCGCACCTCATCTATAACCCCAGCATCATGGCCAACAAGCCATTCTATAACTACAATATCATCACAGTCATGAATCACCGACCCGCACATGATCCAAACAACGGATTGACAGACTTTATCTTGATGAAGTCCCTTGGATGAAAAGGAAACATGGCTACGTGGTAAAACAGGAATTACTTGTCTTCACAACGGAAGCCATGACAATCGCTGCTCAAGATGATGAAAGGAATACACTGGAAACAAGTCAGGACAATCAGGCAACACGAGTGGTCTTTTAACATTGCACTCTTTCTTTGCAAGTATAAGAGTTTCGTTGCGTGAAAGACACCTGCTATTAACCTTAGGCATATATATATATTAAAAGAAATACGTTACAGGTGATTCTTTGAAGATCCCAGGAAGTTGGCTTAGATATGATTGAATAATAGTGTTGATACGATATGTTCGTGTTTATTCTCTATAGACTCCACAAATTGTGCTTTCTGGTCTTTTGAATTTTGGCTTCAGCCGTTCACGTGTTCTATTACCTGTTCTTGTTAACTAAAACTGAAACTTTTAATGTTAATCTACTTATCACAACATATCAAGTATAAGTAAGTATATCTCCCCGGATGGTCAGGCCTACTGACTTGGTTGATGCATGTCATCGATCCCAATTGCGTGGATCGATGCTCATGATATCAATCACTCGACTCGATTATTTACAGACCGCCGTCATATAGCTGGAATATTGCCGAGTGCGGCGTTAAACAACACCAACCAACTATAACGGGGTTGTAATCACTCCAGCTTGATAAAGGTGTAAGAATCTACATCGAAACGTCGCCTATATGCAATAAACCAGAAGTTTTTTATGCATAAAGTTGTACGTTTTCTTATATACTCACCAACTTCTAGAATGGCAATCAAACAGTTTGTTGTCAGCTGTTGGTAGACTACTGACTGTTGCTCTGCCACGGCGGGATGTGAAGTGTCACGCTCGCTGATTCAAGCAGCCACTGAAGCGTTGGTGTGCCTGAGACCACGTGGTCCTGGAGTGATTCATTCTGGACAGGAAGTGGAGATGGTGCTGTTCCGTCGTGGCGAACCGTGGTGATCCAAGTATTTTATGTACAATGAACATCTGTATAAAGCTGTTGGTGAAGGTGCATTTGTACTGTACTGCAAGAAAACGTGAGGGTCATTCAGCGGTGAACTACAGATGTTAAACCTTGATGAGGCGTATGGCAATATATATTTATATATGTGTGTGTGTGTGTGTGTGTGTGTGTGTGTGTGTGTGTGTGTGTGTGTGTGTGTGTTTTGCATGTGTTTGCATGTGTGTGGGTATGTGAGGGTGTGTGTGTGTGTGATATGTGCATGTGTGTGTGGTGGGTATGTGTATTTGTGGTGTGAGTATGCAGGTGTGTATGTGTGTGTATGCGTGAGTGTGTGGTGGGAATGTATGTGCGTGTATATATATATATGTGAGTGTGTGTGTGTGTGTGTGTGTGTGTGTGTGTGTGTGTGTGTGTGTGTGTGTGTGTGTGTGTGTGATATGTATGTTTGCATGTGTGTGGGTATGTGAGGGTGTGTGTGGGATATGTGCATGTGTGTGTGGTGGATATATGTATGTGGTGTGTATGTGTGTATATGTGTGGTGTGAGTGTATGCAGGTGTTTGTGTGTGTGTATGCGTGAGTGTGTGGTGGGAATGTATGTGCGTGTATGTATGCATGTGTATGTATGCGTATGGGTATGTGAGTGTGGCGTGTGTGTATGCGTGATGTGTGGTGTGTGTATGCATGTGTTTGGTGTGTGTATGCGTGTGTGTTTGTATATGTATATGTGTGTGGTGGGTATGTGTGTGTGGTTTATGCGTGTACGTATGTGTGTGTACGTCTCGAGTACGAATATATACTGCTCTGATTGTAGTATAAGCACCAAATAAAATGTTAAACGTCACATTGTTTCACTGTGTTGCAAAATAAATTTGTATTTCTTTACTTGCAAACGGCAGAATCTCTGCAAAAAGAACATACTTGTTTTCTCGTTACTTGTAAGCAGAAGAATCTCTGTACGCAGCAGTCGTAATTCATAACTGTCATGCCGGTTTTTTGTTTTGTTTTAACTGGGCTGTCGGGTCGCCTGGGCCACTGTCATTTGAATGTCGCGTCAGGTCTCGAGTGTTAACAGCAGTACTGCTATGCGGCGTTGGGCAACAAACAACCACTTACTTTTTAATGCAAATTGTGTGAGTGGCGGATGCTGCAGGTGCAGCGGGACATGTTCTCCCTGTTCGAGAACACCTGGGGCGGTCGGGTAGCCTAGTGGTAAAAGCGTTCGCTCGTCACGCCGAAGGCCCGGGTTCGATTCCCGACATGGGTACAATGTGTGAAGCCCATTTCTGGTGTCCCCCGACGTGATATTGCTGAAATATTGCTAAAAGCGGCGTAAAACCATACTCACTCACTCACTCGAGAACACCTGGTGTCATCAGTAATTGTCAGTGATCCGTTCATGTAATATTCACCACTGTTTTACCTTTTACGACAAATGGATTCTGTTCGGCAGATAATCGAGACTGATTATTCTCTGGTGTTCTCTGGACACGTGTACTCGTAACCGCGCTAAGAAAGGTGTTTAAATACCAAACAAAATTCACGTTTCCCCTGTTTAATCGAAACGTATTTAGAATTGAACTTTAAACACGTGAAATATGCAAGTAGCATCCGACTCAACACTGAATCCCAATAATTTAAACACGAAGCTTGAAAGAGGAAATCGAGACCCAAGAGCGGTATTGCTTGAGTTACCACCCTTCTTAGAAATATCCAAAAGTTTAGCCACATTGTGAGTCGCGAATATTTTTTAACACTATGAAAACAGCTCTGAAGAAATCAAACAGCAACAATGGACGTACACTGACGAACCAGTGTTCCCACACACAAAACTTTTCTTATCAAAAATTGTCTATGCGTATAGAGGTCTAAACGTGTATAAATCGTAAAAATGTTAAGCATTGCTTCAAATCTAAAGGTGTTAAGATCCTAAACATGTTTAGATTTGAAAAGCTACGCCAAACACATTTTAACGATTTCAAAATATGTGGGCCTCTGAACGCGTTAAAGTATGGGACAAGGACGTGTGTCTGGGCACTAGGACTTGACTTTAATGTGGAATTAATATGCAAACGAGAAATATCAGCTATATACATGGCACATAAATGGGCTGTCTAGACACGTGATGTGTAACTGAGCTTGTAGCAGTCGGGAGTAAACCTAATTCGAAAAGAACGCATGTCAACATCACCTAGTCAACTGACCCAGGACAACCTCAAACATGCAACAAAACTGTCGTTGATATCAAAAAGTCGTTTTTCAAAACAATGAATCCGTTGTGTGACTTAAGAATTATGAACACTTGTCGGCTCCTGTATCAACTTAGCGAGGTCATTTCTTGACAAAAATGAATAAACGTCACCGATTGGTTTAGGAACGCGATTAGAACGGTTCAAAAGGAAGTTAGGGTAGGGATGGGGGTGTATGCGTATCAACATCTGACTTCCTTTTCCTTTTTTGAAAACAATGTACAGTAAACTGCGTTTATAACAAACACGCTTATAACGAACTGACGGATATGACGAACTTTTTTTGTCCTGGCCAATTGCTGTGTATATGCTGTACATATGCTTATAACGAACTACGGTTAAAACGAGTTCATTATAGCCGTAGTTTACTGTATATGCGCCTGCGATGTGTTTATTGGGAACGGAATGTGTTCCGGGATTAAATGGGGATATTAACTCCACCAAGTCACAATTAGCAGTGTTTCACTGTGTACGGAGATGCAAGGCATTATTTACTGCCTATAAGTTAAGTCACGGCATGTAAAGTGGGACAGGGTTGGACGACTGTGGACATCCATTTCAGTAATATTATGGCGCGTCAGCTTCACGTAAGGTGAAAGCCAAAGGTGGAGCGAGTCACACATTTTGGTATTCGATGTCACGACAAGCATAAATTAACCTTGGGCGGCTCAGAATGGCAAACTCACAAGGCCAGTTTCAGGCCACTGGCCCGATCGTAGATACGGTTCTGTCACTAATCGATCTCCACACAGGAACTGTCCGAACTGTTTAAGTGGCAGTTTTGTATTGATTTCAAAGATGCACTTAGCGAATATGGTTGTATATTTGTCTTGTTGACGTGACGCGACACGGTCCACGGCACATTCGTTTTGCGCCATTTCTGTTCTGCAGCATACCCACGATTTTCAGCAAGCCGTGGTATTGCATTACAGTAAACTACATTTATAACGAACACGCTTATAACAAACTGTCGTATATAACGAACTGTTTCTCTGTGACGTCCATTTTCTAAAGATGTTGTACATATGCACATGACAAACTACGGTTATAACGAATTAAAATTAGTTAACCCTTTGGGTCGTTATAACCGTAGTTTACTGTATTTGTGGTTAAATAAAGGTGTTTTTATCAACACCTGATAGTTAAACAATCATAAAAAAACACACGTGTGTGAGTATCATGTTCCCAACAAACACGCTAACATCCAAATTGTGCGCGATGCATGAGCATGCACGCATGTACTGTGTCACCCCGTACTTATAATGCCCTCTGCATCCTAGCATTCATGCACCTGATGAATAGGTAACAATATACCCCGAAACGTTGTGTTCCTCGTAATAAAGAAGTTGACAACCATGAATTTGTCTCTTATTGGACGTTGATGTGATTACCGACACGCCAGGAGATAATTGATTGAAGCTATGCTTTTCATAAATGTAATGAATTGCTGTATTGGATAATGGCACAACTGACAGCTGTTATACGGATATACTGCATCGTGTTAAATAGCTCGATTTCCGTAACTGAACACTGTACAGAATTCATCAAACGTTAATCAAACAGTGCTGTTTCGCAAACTCGAGGAAGTCCTCATGTCAAGGGGATATGAACATTTTCAAAATAAATTTAAAAGAACAAAATTATTCCGAATGTGAACGAGATGTTTACCCTCAGGGATCCAGGTGTTTTTGTTGTTTGGTAGATTCTGCCTTTTTATGGACGTTCAGGTCTGTTCACTTTGACACGACTTTTAAAAACCTTTTCTGTACACCGGGAGGAGCTGGGCTTGGCAGGTGTAGAGGTTGTGGGTTGAAGTTTCCACTTGCAGTGTTGAGGACTGAGAACCAGCACTTGTCTCGTTTGTCATCGGGAGGAGACACTTTTCACTTTGACACGACTTTTAAAAACCTTTTCTGTACACCGGGAGGAGCTGGGCTTGGCAGGTGTAGAGGTTGTGGGTTGAAGTTTCCACTTGCAGTGTTGAGGACTGAGAACCAGCACTTGTCTCGTTTGTCATGGTCCCAGTGTTTACAATGGGGTAATTCTCAGCTTGAAATGGCGCATCGCTGTAGTAGATGTTGCCTGGAGAACTGTACTTACTGTTTTCACGTTTAGCGGGATACTGTCATCAGAATAGAGTGAATACAATTTCTCTGCATGTAACTGTTATGACCACACTTAGTGGTTGACCTTATTTTGTCATTACTCACTAGGAAGAGCCAGGCTTTTCCTTCCAATTTGGGTTACATGTTACACGTAAGTCCTCCATAGTATTTTGGATGGTGCATTCAATATGAGGTGAGGTGAAATTGGGTTTAACGTCGCATCCAAGATTATTGCACTTATATAGCGACGTGCTTGCACGTGAGTGTGTGGCTGCATGTACTACTCCGGACTGATGCCGATTTATAGTGCTAGCCCACTGGGATACCATGCTGCAGTTTCACATGAATACCCCACTCAGACACAACATACTGACTCCGAGCCGACCAGTTCTGTTTTATCCCATTAATGCCGAGCGCCAGACAGGGTAACAACAAGTACCAATTTTTTTGTCTTTTGGTATGACGCGGCCCGGGATCGAACCCCGGACCTTCCGCTCTCCGGCTCTACCACTAGACCACGGAGGCGGTCTCATTCAATATGAACGTGTTGGAGTTGTGCAGGACGCTACCGATTTCTAAGAGTAGAATCTACTTTAATTTTCATATATTGATTGATTAAAACTATATTTCCTGAAAGACAGATGGTGTTAGAAAAAAACCAACACAAATAACTGGTCACCTTGTCTTCTGTATACTAATCTTCACTCCTAAACGCCTTTTCAAAAATGTCTCGGTCAACTTTCACACCAATTTAAACTGATTTTGTTACATTTAACGGACAAAAGAGGTACAAATTCGGACGACAGTCAGTCACACATCGCTCTATGGCTGACTAATAAACCCCTGTTTAGTCACCCAGTTTAGCAACGTTTACTAGGTTACCTTATCTCTATCTTGTCACTTTTGGTAATACATGCAAGTGTAGATTTGAGTGAAACAGCCTTGAACGCGACGTAAGCCCAATTCACCTTGCAGATGATGATGCTGCTGCTGATGACATTGTCTGAGATTTTACGAGCCTTTCAAGTGTAACCCTTTCCACCCTTTTAGTTGCCACGCGGCACCTTTTGTAAGATGCAATTTTGAAATGATGACCTGGTAACAATCAATCATTGAGCTGTCTGCTTATCTTTGCACTGTACTGTACAGTACTGAGCTTCTCTACATTGTGTTTATTCTAATAAATCTTATAGGATCTGTGACTTGGTTGATTGTGTGCCATCCTATTTTGTCCGAGTGGGTTATTTGTCCTAATACAAGCCACTTGATAGTCCGGCCCCGATTTGATCACTTGCAGGCCGCCTTCATATACTTGATATACTGTTAAACAACGTTTACTCGTTACATATGCTACTTCAAATATAACCATGATTCTTCTGCTTCAAAATATGTCACGTATCTTCTGCTTCAACTACTTCACAGTATGTCACGTATCTACTGTTTCACCTACTTCAAAATATACTGCCCAAAAAAAGAAACGCAAAACTGAAATCTGTTTTTCAAACTTGACTGTTATTAAAGATGAAGGCTTGAACTCAATATAAATGTCATTGCTTACTGTGAATATTGACCTTACACTAATTTATTGCACCCGAACACAACATTTGGTGACTTGTCGCCAAAATACAGCATCTTTAAACCAAACTGGGAGAAATTGCATGGAGAAAAAGCTGTTAGCATGCTGCACGTGCAAATACGGCTACTTAACCTTTATACCGATGGGTATAAAAATTTGGCAGTCCTGCTGCGAATCACTCTCCGATGTCCTGTATACGTGACTCTCATGATGCCAAGACTGAATGAAGACTGTAGAAACGGAGCCATTGGACGTCTGGAAGCTGGAGAAAGTCAGACATCAGTAGCTAGGCACTTTAACGTGAGGCAGAGTACCATTTCTCGTCTGTGGCAGCGCTACAGACTCCAAAACTCTTCGCAACCGGACAATCAGTGCAGCATACACAGCTAACTATGTTCCTGGTCTTCGTAGAGTCTCAACGCAAACCATCAGAAAGACAGCATGGGATTGGCCAATGAGACCATATACAGCGCCCGTTCTGCGGCAACATCATCGTCGTGCACGTCTGCAATGGAGCAGAAATGTTTGACCATAGACCCTAGTGCACTGGACAAGGATAAGGTTCAGTGATGAGTCGCGGTTTATGCTGTATCGCCATGATGGTAGGATGCGTGTCTACAGACGGAGAAATGAACGCTACACCCGACACTGTATTCATGAAGTCGACCGATACGGCGGTGGAAGTGTCATGATGTGGGCAGGCATATCCGTGAATGGTAGGACAGATCTGGTGCACGTGCAGGGAAATCTAACTGATGTACGCTACCGTGATTAAATCCTTCAACGTCACCTTATTACTGCCATTGACGTCAGAAGAGAGATTTTCCAGCAAGACAACGCAAGACCGCATACTGCACGTGTTACCATGGATTATCTTGCCCACAACAATGTTACTGTGCTGCCATGGCCCTCCAAATCGCCTGATCTAAACCCCATTGAACATTTGTGGGATCTGCTAGACAGACGTGTACGACGCCGACAGCCTCAACCACAGACGCTTCAACAGCTGAACCATTCATTGCAGGATGAGTGGAAAAGGAGTCCACAACGCCAGATTCGACGCCTCATACAATCCATGCCCAGGCGGTGCAGAGCTGTGATCGATGCTCGTGCTCGATATGTCACGTATTAACTTCTTCAACTACTTTAAAATATGTCGATGCTCGTGGTGGTAACACCCGGTACTGACTTTGGCACAGTGCCATCACAGACACAGACGTCCCTTAGAACATTAAAAAAACTGTTTGTAGTGTAAGAAACATGTGCCCCATCCTGTGTTAAGTTTGGTTGTTGTATCTTCACTATTTATTGTGTAATGATCCTATTTCATTAAACATGTAATGAAACACTGATAATTCTGTTATGCGTTTCTTTTTTTGGCCAGTGTATGTCACGTATCTACTGTTTCACCTACTTCAAAATATGTCGCGTATCCACTGCTTCACCTACTTCAAAATATGTCACGTATCTACTGCTTCACCTACTTCAAAATATGTCACGTATCTACTGTTTCACCTACTTCACAATATGTCACGTATCCACTGCTTCAACTACTTCAAAATATTTCACGATTCTACTGTTTCACCTACTTTACAATTTGTCACGTATCTACTGCTTCACCTACGTCATAATCTATCACGGATCTACTGCTTCAACTACTTCAAAATATGTCACGTATCTTCTGCTTCACCTTCTTCAAAATATGTCACGTATCTTCTGCTTCCACTTCTTCAAAATATGTCACGTATTAACTTCTTCAACTACTTTAAAATATGTCACGTTTGTATCTGTGTCATTCATTTCAAGGACGTTCATATTTACTGCCAGTGCCCTTTCTTTTATCAATAAGTATTATTTATCAGCGCGTGGGTTGTGATGGGACATATTGTGACATTGTATGGTTTAAAGATGATTGGAGTCCAGAGGTTGAAATATTTACAACAGACCCTAACGTTAGTCTGCTCCAGAGACAAGCAGCAAACACGGGGAGCTTGCCTTGCACACTGTCCACGTGGGGTCTGAATGCGACACTCTTCTCAATTACTCTATAAATGTAATAGAAAGACAATTGATGTGCACCATCTGCTTTGATGAGAATAGATAATACAATAATGGCAAGCAAGTATTGGTGATACAATAGCTGTGTTGGTTTGAGGAACCAATAAGTGCATAGTATCATGGTAACTGTAATTTCTCGATTATTTACGTGTAGAACCCAATCGTGTAAATGGGCCTGTTGGCAGCCTCACTCTGCAATCTGCGTCTTGTATTCATGAGCGCCACCACACGACGGGAGCACATCAGTACGTCATGGAAAGCACACTTGTATTGTTTGTCAATGGCATCAAGGTGAGTTCATAGCGAATACATATAGTATAGGGAATTCCCGTGCATGCAGTAAATTCACTCAATCCTCGCCCACTCGGCTCACGGCAGTACACTGTCGCTAGATATTAATACGAGTCGTGTGTCATGGTGATACAAACTGCCCGTAACCCAAATACTGGGTGGTTGGGTTGTCTGGAGGTGGAAACGCTCAGACCTGGCTCGTCATTGCGAGGACATGGCGTCGGTGCCACATGGGCATAATGTGTGAAGCAGATTATTGGCGTACCCTACTTCTTTTGTACTGGACAAAATAGTAATTGCGGCTTAATCACCTACAATCCTTCACCCAGTTACCGGACGGGTGACCTGCCTTTTTGCATGCTAATTATTGCATGTTGCTACATGTGCTTTGTATGGCAGATAGCACTGACTGTATTACACTCAACAGCATTACAGATCTTTAAAACTGTCAAAAGACGAATCACTTTTGACACAAATGCAAAAAAGTAACTTCGATGTCATTTAACATTTATCACAGGGGAGGCATGGGTGACCAAAGGGTCTATGGTTAAAAAAATCGATACCCGGAGTTATGACCCTTAATCGTGACAGGATCGCTGATCTTAGGTTCGAATCCAAGGTTCGTTCTGATTATGATCCCTGGCTTGTCTCCAAAGCTGGTGGGTTTAAGCAAAACTGTTATCATTCATGACCTGCCGAGTTTTTAGATTTTACCACGTTTAGGTGAGGCGAAACGGGGTTTAACTTCGCGTCCAAGATTATTTCACTAATATAGACGTGCATGAACGTGTGTCTGTTACGGCTGCCTGTACTAGTCCAGACTAATGCCGATTTAAAGTGCTCGCCCATTGCGATAGCATACCGCAGTTTAACATGGATACCCTACTCAGACACTCCATACTGAATCCTTTCCGATCAGTCCTTGTTATGCCGTGTTATCCTTTTATGCCGTGTTTGTGGTCAAATCCCGGTTCACCCCGATTATGTTTCTAGGTTTGTGAGCACCATACTCGTGCTCGTGGGTTTCACAGAAATGATAAACGCCTGAGACCTGCATCACATAGGGCTTTCCGCCCACATTGAGCTGACAAGTCATGATATAACTCAAATATTCTTAAATATTCGAAAAAAAGGTGGGCACGGATGGCCCAGTCGTCTTAGGCGCGGCTATTTGTTGTGCAGAGTTGCGTTCGTACGGCACGCCAAAAACCTATGATTACGGGTTCGAATCCCGGTTCCCCCCAGTTATGTTCTAGGTTTGACAGCACCATAACAGTACGCGTGGGTTTCACAAAGTGGCGAACGTCTGTCAGCTGCATCATTTCGGGCTTTCCTCCAATATTAAGTTGACAAAATGAACCACAACGAAAATAGCTACATGCATTCAGAGTAGGTTTCAATTCATTTCTCAGCTTGCAGTGCGACGCTCCCTGAAAACTCTCTAATTGGATCAGATAAACCGAGTATTCCGAAGGACAACATGAATACTTTAGGATGAAATATTTATACTTGTTTCAATATTTCCAAAGACGTTTCGAAGATACCCATATTTACACAATGTAACCACCGCTAGCATTTATACCAACGTAAATGCAAAAAATTATGATGTGGCAGTTTCACTTGGGGTTTATGGGGTTTTATGCATTCCTCGTCAAGTTAATGGTATAAAACCTCACGCGGGACGCATAAAACCACTTATCATACCTCCATGTTAGAATGATAAGATCTGATTGGTTCACCTGAACTTGATAACATTCTTTATCTCAAATTACATTATAATACTAGCTTCTGATTCGCAATGTTTTTCCATGTAGCCTGCTCATGTAGGCCGCTCATGTACCCCGCTGTGAAATAAATCGGATCACATCTAATGTATCCCGCTTGGGAGGGAAATGCATTTCTGAGCAGGAGAATAAATCCCTTATACCCCATCACGAAGAAGACAGGCTGCGCGTGGATTTCGGAGCGGGAGAATAAATTTCCTCTACCTCGCTTCGAAGCGAAAGGCCGCACGCTTCCCAAATTCAAAATTGATATAAAACAGCTGTTCGATTGATTTGAGGATAACCTTCGCTCTGTCACGAGACTTGAAGCTTTTTGTTCCGTAGCGGGCTTCAATAAATGTATTTTCCTGGTCAGATATCCACGTGCAGCATGTTTCGTTTGTGGCGGGGTATGAGATATTTTTTTATTTTTTTATTTATTCCCCTCTCTCTCTCTCTCTCTCTCTCTCTCTCTCTCTGTCTCTCTCTCTCTGATGGAGTTTGTGAGCGTTCACATTTAGGTGACAAATATGTGGTACTGATAAACCATGATTCATAATCAGCGCAAATATAAAATTCTAACCAATTATCCCTGGATCATGGGATGTCTAATGGACGTAACTCTGCACTACTAATAAAGTAGTGAAACTCGATATGAGATATACACTTTGACATCAGTTATTCAGCGGGAGTCCATTATTCCTGGTTGAAAATAATGTTTCAATAATTGAATAATGTTTTATCACTGTCGACACCTAATTACTAAACAAGGTAAAACTTTACAATGACAGTGGGCGGTTAGTGGCGTAACACAACACTCACTCGCATAGAAATCTTCTATCCGCTGGTCGGTGTTTCAGATCCCCATAATGCACCGATTAAGATCTTTGATCTGTCATAACATTACCTGTGTTTTTGAATCTGGCAAAAACCACCCACCAAGGCTATCAACTTCTGCGTAAAATCCGTTCAGAGAGAGAGAGAGATGTATTGCAGGGTACATCAAATACGCCATTCTCCCTGTCTTAAAGATAATTATTAATTCAATCAAGGTGTGGTGAGATGAAGAGTGCGTGCGTGCGTGTGTCATGTGGCCGGGGAATTGAACCACCGACCTTCGCCCTCAGGACAGACGCTCTATCCACAAGACCATAGGGGTCAATTCTGTCCAAACATTTAATTTTTAAACTTATCCTATCTCACACTATGCATCTCTCTTTCTTCTTTCGATTCTGAGTGGAAACGTATCTGAAATAAAAGTTTCCAGCTTCTAAAGTTAATTAACCCTGTCATACCTCACATCGTCACGGTCACCTCCCAGATCTAGGTCATGCGCGCTATGCATGCTGGTTGACCTTCTAGCACTGATCACGTGTCTATCCCAGTCAACTCATTCTCTTTCAAATCGCCACGCAGTGGTGACGTGTTGTTATTACAGGAATCCATTTTGGGTTTTTCTTTTCGCTTGCAAGCGATCTTCATATTTTTGTCGTCTAACTGCCTGCAAATTTACTTATATCCCTGTTTGGGATAGTTATTCATCATAATGGACGAGCAGTCTACACGGAGACCTGTCTGCACTTTGTGCCGACGTGTTTTCTCTCCGTCTGACCCTCATGCCCAATGTTCGGATTGTCGTGGATTATGCAGTTTATTAGAGCGTTGCGAGCTCTGCTCCGATCTACCAGATGAATCCTTCAAACTGTACCTGCATAAATGTCGGCGTCGGGTGTCAGATCGTCTCTCTAAGACTGCAGAAAAATCCACGAAAGCCAAGAAAACACCGGTCAAGAAAGCGAGATCGGCCCGATCACCCTCACAGGCGGGCCAGAATACTAGGGATCAAACTGGTCCCATGATCTCGTTAGACGATGAGGGGGTCTCTGACTCTTTTCTCACAGACGACATGTCTAAGGTATCCACGAATCCACCTTCAAAGCCGAACCTACCCTCCACATCCCGAGACTCGGACATTCGACGAGTCCTCTCGTTAGACACGAGTGTGGATGACCGGCTTACGTCAGCCAACGTATCCAACCCGACCGAGGTTCGTACTTTCGACTCGTCGTGTTCTACGACTAACATGGAGCTCGCTCCTGTTTTACCTTCGGAGGGTACACATGGTACTGGTACCTTGGTCGACCCTATAAGTTCGGTCCGTCGTTCGAAATCTCCCACACGACGATCTTCGCAGGATCGATCCTCTCAAGACCAGGAGTCGTATGACGACTCATCGGATCAAGGTTCACGAACCTCCCATTCCAAAGAGGATTCACAAGACGATAGACATTCGTCCCGGGATCGACTAGCATCGACAGTCAGTGCACTTTATTCAGTGCAATCATCGGGGGATCGGCATTCAGACTTTGACCAACGGACTTCTCACTCTCGACACCGAGATGATTCACCGAACATCCCACCATCGAAGGTTCCTCGTACTTCCGAACCTCGAACCTCCGAACCTCGAACCTCCGAACACCGAACCTCCGAACTTGGACCCCCGAACCTCCGAACCTCCGAACCTCGAACCTACGAACATCGGGCCTCCGAACCTCGATCCTCCGAACTTCGAACCTCCGAACCTCGAACCTCCGAACCTCGAACCTCCGAACCTCGAACCTCCGAACCTCATCGAACCTCCGAACCTCATCGCACCTCCGAACATAACCGACCCTCCGAAACTCGTCTTATGACAGGCGAGCGGATTATCGCTCATGCCCTTATCATGTCTCACGAAGAGACTATTCAGACCCATCACGTCTAGGCTCGGAGGATGAACGCTACAACGAGTCTATTAGCCATTCATCCTACATGTCTCGATCTTCTCCTTCACTCACCCATCCGGAGTTTCGACTAAGAGATTACCCTCACACTTTTGATTTACATGAACGTGGTGATTACCCATGGAACACTACTTCATATAGTGCCTACGCACATGAGTTGGAACGATACCCACACCACAGGGATCCCCACCCTCCATGGCATGGGTATCCTCATGATCCAGATTACAGACCTTATCGGTCAAGCTACATTTCCTCTTCTCGTCATGAGGACTCTCCTCGGCGACATAGAGATAGACCACTCAGATCAGCTACCGTTAGTAGATGTCCTTCACCTAAAGATAGGCAGAGTTCTACTTCACCTACTCGTCGTACCGGCTCCCCATCGCCACCTCCGGTTCGACGCCCTCCTGTTTCCTCTGAATCACAGACTCCTGCAACATCACAAGCTCCATCT